TGGTCCGAAATGTAAATTTTGCTCCTTTAAATTTTTCTGAAATTTTGATTAAGCGGTCCGGAAAAACCGTTCGATAGATCGATCTGCCAATTTACGGAGCTTTTGGGGGTACATCGAGGTGTAAAAATTCGTACAAGCATTAGACTCTCCATCGATATTAGCAAAGATGCGGTCAACTTAGCAAAACAAGTCAAAAAGTCACTTTTTTTCACTTTTTTCAAGTTAATGTCGAGGATGAAAGAAAATTTTTTTCTTCCAAGAACGCTACATAGCCTTGTAGGAAATTTATTCGAGATTTCGAAACTGCCCGTCAATTTTCTGTCTGAAGGATGCTTTTGTATTCGTAGTCGAATATCTCCGGGTCAAATTAACGTAGAGAAAAATTTAAAAAAAGAAATTAAAGCTGAATGAACAGGCTATCAAGTCCATATCATGATTTTTGTGTAAAAAATTTTTCCAAGCCCGTGGACCGAGAAAAAAAACGCAAATTGAAAAAAAATTTTTTAGTCTTATTTCTTAGAATTTCGCGATGACTATCGCTCCTAAAAATTTTAAACTAAGAAATCTGGAAACTAGACATTCGGCACTTTAAAATGCTTTTTTAAAAACCTTGATTCTGAAAAATCACTAATAATTCGAAAAAATTTTTTGCTCCCTTCATTTTTTGCAGAAGTATAGAATGTTCAAAAAAATAAATAACAAATAACGAGTTATTATAGTTTATGATTTAACGCAGTACAATATGAAATCTTCGACTGACATAAGGCTCCTTACGTCATACAAATTAATCGTATTTTCGCAACAGAAACAATAGCTAATTATTTTTCCCACGTTCAAAACTAAGTGAATGAACACTTATTTAATCATTTATGCCAGTTGTCTCAAAATTTTACTCCTACGAACACTAAAAATGTTTACATTCGATATACAGGGTGTGACGCGAAATATGCCCAGTTTGCATCTTAAATAAAAAATCTTAAAAGCAATATATGACCTTACAATCTTTCCTCTGGAAAAAACATAAAGTTACACTGATTTGGAAATTGGTAAATCTCGGTGTTACAACATTTTAGACATTTCCAAGCACAACTAAATCACATTTACATGATAGGTCATAGTTCGAATCCAGCCGAAATGTTTTACTACAAAATAAGTGGACTGGGTGTGTGTATTGTAAATGCCAGAACTAAATTTACATAAGCACGACCTAAACTACAGAAGGAAAGAAAATTTGAGCAAAAAAATTATTTTTAAATTTCTGTTGCACAATGATATTTCAACTTAAAATAACGAGCGTTCAAATTAAAACGTGGTCAAGTTGGTTCTGAAAATTTGGACGTAGGGCGTAGCGTATAGCAAATGAACTTAAACGTCATCTGTCAAAGCGCTATATCGCCGCTATCAATTTGAATATTTTCGTTTTAAAAAGCGTTTAAAATGGTGTTTTCTCAAACACAAAAAGTGTTTATCATAGAGTCCTACTTTAGAAATGGACGCAAGATTGATGGAATATGGAAGTATTCTATTGAGGAATGTTTCATAGAATTTCAAAATCAATTTCCCGGCGTTGTTGAGTACAAAATTTTTCAAAGTGCAGTTCAGCGTTGTGTTAATGTTTTTCGTGAAACGGGCAGTGTAACAAGAAAAGTAGGAAGCGGCCGACCTAAAAAGCGGACTGAAGAATTAAAAGAAAATGTCCAACAAATAATGGAAAATGCGCCAAGAACTTCTGTACGTGTTTTATCACAAATGGTGGGACTATCAGTCGGTACCTGCCACACAGTGTTAAAAAAAGATTTATTTGCGTTTGTTCTCCTATCGATTAACTTGTCAGCAAGAACTTCATGAAGTTGATTTTCCGCGACGGGCTGTATTTTGTGAATGGTTTTTAAACAACTACGGTGAACTTCATAATATCACCTTTTTTTCTGATGAAGCCTGGTTTCATTTAAGTGGTTACGTAAACTCACAGAATATGAGATTGTGGTCTTCTGAAAAACCAGATAACTTTTTTGTCGAGGGCCCTCTACACGCTCAAAAAATTGGAGTTTGGTGTGCTCTCAATCGAAGGAGGATTTATGGACCTATTTTTTTTAATGGTACTCTTACTGCGCAAAGGTATAGAGAAGAAATTATCGCTCCTTTTGTTAACCAGCTGGAAGAAAACGAAATTACAAACTTTTACTTTCAACAAGATGGCGCAAGGGCACATACGGCAGGCGAGACGATGAATATGTTGAGGGAAGTTTTCCAAAATCGACTAATAAGTCTCAATGCTGAACATGAATTTCCACCGAGGTCATGTGATATTACGCCGTGTCATTTCTTTTTGTGGCCTTACCTTAAAAACACTATTTTTGAACTGCCTATTCCTGATTTAAACCATCTGCAGGCTCGACTTATAGACAAGATTCGTGAAATTAACAATACCCCGAGCATCTTAGAAAATGTCTTTAATTCTTTGAGGAAGGCGTGAAAAGTGCTTGGAACAAGGAGGGGGACACTTTCAGCAGCTGCTTTAATTTATTGTTATAATAAGGAGGGGGACACTTTCCGCAGCTCCTTTAATTGTTTGTTATTGTTATCACGATTATTCTTTAAAATAAAGTTATATAGTCATTAACGTTATTGAAACTGACAGCTGCTATACAGCTCGTTGAGAAATGAGGTTAAGTTGGTCGCTATAAGCTACTCCCTACGTCCAATGTATCAGAGCCAACTTCGACCACGTTTTTATTTGAACGCTCGTTATAATAAAAATTAATTCAACATACTACAGTTATCCCGATTAAATTTAAATAATTTTTAGTAATCTTTTTTTGTTGTTAGTTTTTGAAAACTTTTATTAGTCATTAAACATTCCTCGTGTTGTTCTACTTCTTACCATTTTCGAGATATTCAGTTATTTTTGAAAAATATCACGATTTCAGCTCTTTAAATGAAGCTAGATAGCGTCTAACTCGTTAGAATCGAGTCAGAAACCTGCAGTTTTCATACTTCGTTTTGGCATAAATTACTCTATCTTGTCATCTGTGAGCAAAACATGTACATTATTCAGACTCGGAAATACTGAGACCTACGTTTAATAATCTTACGAGTTGAAAAACTTTTTTTTCAAATAGAATGACCCATATTAATTATCATGGGTATATGCAAAATTGAATGGCCTTTCGACTGGTATAAGGTTGTCCATACCTATCTTTAACAGTTTTCCAGAAAAATCTGTTTCTTTTCTAAAGTCCGAAAAAGTAGCTATGTAATCAAGAAGGCCTTGCAAAACCACTTTTCTCTCACATTTTATCAAGCCTGGGACTGACAGTGTCAATCTTTACTGGCATGTTTAAAATGTGGTTTGACAAACAAAAGTAAACCACTAACAACAACTAAAACAAAACGCAAAACGAAACAAACTGAAACTCGGAACACAACAAAGAGAATACTTAGATCGCTGATTTACATCAATTGCTCGAAGTGTCCTATTTTGATTAATACACAAACGAATTCGATTTTTAAAAGACTGTTCAACATTGGTCAGCATGTCTGGTGTAATTTCTTGAAATGAAATGAAATGTCGCCTAACAAATCTTCTACAGTGTTTCTTAAATAGTTTAAATACACTGCTTCAGTTAGATGCTGGTCAAAAACGAATGGTCCAATGACATGAGTTCCCAAAAATGCTCTCCACACGTTCAAAGACTATCGTTGGCTATGAGTTGTCCGGAATTGATGAGGATTTACTGTGTCATAATAATAGCAATTATGACTATTAACGAAACCATTTTTATGAAAAGTAGCCTCATCGGAGAACATGACCCGTTTAAAATAATCATCATCTTGATTTAACATCTCAAGATTCTCAACTGCCCACTGACAAAACTCCAGTCTCCGCTGAAAGTCTACTTTTAGTAACTCTTGGTGGAATTGGATGCGATAAGGATGTGCTGTGCTGTGTTTTTGTAAAATCCTAAACCTATTTTGAAAATTTTGAAAAAAAAAAACGGAAAAATTCTGAAAAATTGGAAATGATATAAAAAATGTGGAAAAATATCGGTATTTGTTGAGTAGTATAATAATTAAAGTAATAAATTTCAGCATATAGAAATATGTATACATGACCAGTATGCATCTGTTTATACTGTTATATGAAGCTTCCACAACATCCTCTTCAGGAAATGGTGCACAGAAAACCACGAAATATAATCTTCCAAAACTAAAAGTTACCGATCTTTTGATTCCTAGAAAAATTATAACAGAAACATTAATCTAAAAAATAGACAGACAGTTGTAATTTCTTAGTATTAAGCAAAATTTTACGATTCAGTTAGCACTACACGCTCTGTAGCTGTCCATGAACATAATGAGGATTTTCTAATGCACATAATTATTCGTCAGTTTCTCTGTACCGCTGATATTTCCTTAGCGTTACATTTTCACGCTTCACAGGAAAAAACGTGTCAGTATTACCCGACACAATTTCATTATTTTCAATAAAAGAAAGAAAATACGATACAAAATGGTTCTAATGTTGTCCAAGTTGTACATTGCTCAATAAACCATTTTTATGTTTTCTCCTAACAAAGTAGCTACCATTAAAATACACCTTATAAGTATATGATTGAAACCAAGGCACGGCGCCATGATTTAATAAAAAATAGTCCAGATTAAATAAGCAAATTACATTAATTTATATCATACAACCTTGAGCCGACTTATGTTTATTTTGCGTAGGTAAAGCTGTTTCAAACGCTACAACGTCTAGTAGAATACACACCAATTAAAATATCAAGCAAGCAATAATACAAGCGATTTTTAAATTTCGCAATACAGATGCTAAATCTTAAAAAAAATAAATATGGTATTTTATCCTTTAGAATAAGTAGCTAAGTAGCGTGTAATGTAGGTAAACCGTAAAAAATCATTATTGTACTTAAAAACCTTTTAATGTGTCTTACAATACAAAACTACTTGTGGACTATTTCTAAGCAGATATATTTTTTTAGGAATATGCCACGGACAAAGAAAAGGCAGCAGAAATATCCCCGTAGGGGCAGACCTTAAGCAAGCCGTAAATTTCGACTGTCCCGAAGAATTTGGCTATTACCCCCACCCCAGTGACTGCACCCAATACTACGTTTGCGTATTTGGAGGAGCCCTTTTGGAATCATGCACTGGAGGGCTTATGTACAGGTAATCCCCCTCTAGTCCTCACACTTTGAAAAAAAACTCACTGGTTTCTTTTCCGCAGTCATGAACTTCAAACTTGTGACTGGCCAAGGAACGTAGGATGCGACGGTCTCGAAATATCAGCACCACCATCATCAGCTGCAGTCTCTACAACCTCCGCTCGAGGTCGAGATCGCGATAGAGAGAGGGAGAGGGATCGCGATGAACCTAGAGCGAGATACTCACCACCACCACCTCCGCAACCAGCTGCAGTGGTCACTAGCAGAGGGCAGTCCAGACAACTCCATCACACTCAACAGGAAATTATTAAGGTAGCGTCATCAACAATATAGTAATTTGTTCAAACCTAATATCTAAATCATTAACAGCAGCAACAGCAGCAACAGCTCTATGCTGATGCAGAGGAAACTCTGCCACCAGCTGAAGAAATCGAGAGCGATAGGCAGCAACGCGTATACCGTGGACAACCTTCTACAGTAGGCCAAGTGCAGAGAGACAGAGATGGTCTTAGACATTCCAATGCTATTCCTGTAAGTTTAAATCAGTCCTTATTAAATGCTAGTCTATATCACTATCATTGCAGTCATATACTGGACGCGGTGAAAAGATTGGAGTAATATCATTTGGAACTCAGAACCAGCACTATAGGTAAGTGGGTTTTTTTAATACTTGAATGAGTCTAAAAATTGTTTACCCCCATAGCAAAGTGACTGACGACGACGATTTACTTACTAACGACTTGACAATCAAGAGAAGACGCAAAAGACAAGCGAAGAGAAGGTAATTTCATTAACTATTAAATACAGCGGCAATAAATTTAAAAAGTTTCATAAGGTATTTGCTACTACAAGAATTTTGTATTGTGCAGTAAAGTTTTATCCCATTATAGCAAATACCTTATTTACATTCGTACTACGGTCTCGAAGTCAGAACATCCCAAGTAATTCATGATTTTTTAGTCGTCTAGAGGAAGAAGAAATGAGATGGCGAACCCACCGCGATAGAATTGCGCGAATAAAATTATCCTCCTCTTCTCCATCCCCAGTCCCAAAACAAAACCAGAAAGACGTCTTCAAACCTAGTCAACTACAAACCGATTCCAGCAACGACTTCAAACCTTTCGTTCCCAGTTACAAATTAAACCCACAGACACGCAACTCGACCACAAATACCAATTACGAAAAAAAACAATTAGCCACGTCATCCTCAAACCGCGACAATAACTACTCTTATCTTACAATCGGTAAGCCGGAAAGAGGGTTGCAACCCGCATTCACTAATGTCGTTACCAAAAAGGAGTCTGTAAGAGAGCTCAAGCCACCTAATAATACCACAAGGACAGTATCTACCCGTAAACATCACACAGAAGTTGTTACAAAGCCATATCCAAAAATTGAAACTAGTACAGCGGAAAGTGTTAGATCTGACAAAGGAGGGGCTAAGAAGCCTAAAGAGGACGGAAAAGAAACCGATGAAAAATCAGAAGAGGAAAGCAGCTCGTTTCACGACGAAGAAGACGACGAGGAACATTTCAATCCTCCCCCGGAATTCTTCAGAACGGAAAGCAGATACGAAAATATAAGAAACCCTTTCGCCGATCCAGATTTCGATTTCGATAAGTTCTTAGACAGGCTCCGTGGACCGACTCGGAAACCCCCAAAGGTAAAAATTATACCTAAAAGCCAACAAGGAGTGGCCCGTCTACCTGATAAGAGCCCTTCGGATCCTGTGGCTGGAGTAACTCAAGTGCCCTTACCATTTACGCCGAACGGTGTCATAAATCCTCCTGAACTGAATCAAACACCCCCACAGTACCAGGACCCCAAAGGCAATCCAAATGCTTATACGAATAACGTCAACAGGGCAATTCAACCTCTGCCACAGTTTCAGCAGCTGCAACCTCTACCCCAGCTGCAACAACTACCACCTCTAACACAGTTGCAAACTCTACCACAACTCCCGCAGTACCAATCGCTGCAACCGCTGCCGCAATTGCAGTCACTACCCCAGTTGCAATACAGACCTTTACCGCAAATAAACCCTCTAAATACACCGCAGCAATTGAAAACGATGCAGTTTCTACAATCGGCGGCTATTATTAATGAGTATATTGACAAGAATGCTCCCAAAACGCAACCACTGCCTGCAAAGCCCGACGCCAACGCAAATGCAAAGCCGCGCCTTCCCCTTTCCTTTGTTAATATTCAGACCCTCCAAAAACCAAATAATATCAATAAATACTACGAACAGAAAGCCCCTCAGGCCGTGCAAGTTCCCAATGACTTGGACAAAACATCATCCATACAGTCAAGACCGATTGTTAACGTGTACTATGAAAAAAATATCAACAAAGCCGTACTACCGGCTATTCGCGAAACAAGCAGCGTTAGACCTTCACCGGCCAGTACGGCAAGCCCACAGGTCATAATAGAACGTCACCAAACAACCGCCAAACCACCTCCAAAAGAATACTACTACGAATACCAAGACGCAACGTCATCACCTAAAAAGTTGTACTCCAGTCAAATAAAGACAACTATAAAGAAAGCAAATAAAGTCGTCGTGAAAAAACCTACAGTTGAATACGAATATTACTATGACGACTATGATGACGAATTTCCCGATAAAAACAAAAAGAATCAACCTAAAAACAATGGAAATAAGCAGAGCATCCAACCTACCTTAAGAGCAAATAATACCGCGGGCGGAGAAGTAAAGTATTCCGCAAGGTACCAAGAGAAACCTAGTGGTCCAGTAACGAATATCCCTAGACCCTCACCCACATCCCAAAACGTAGATACTTTCAACACACACTCTGTATACAACAGTCAGCTACCCAACACCACACCTAAGTCCCTCCTCAGTACCGCACGACTAAGAAAAAAACCATCCACAAGACCAGTTGTTAGTACAGCCACCGCAACTACCACAACTAAACCACCCAGAGGGAAACCAAAACAGAGACTACCGACACGCTTTGACTTAGACATTAAACGAGAACAAGTTGCGAAAAGGTAATATGACTCATGGACTTGAGAGACTAACCTTTTTTTTCAATTGTTAATTTATATAGTTCTCGTGTTTTCGTTATTTTAATAAATGCATGTTTTGCAGACTAATCTGTTTTTTTATTTGAAACATACACTGCGGCGACAAGTATGAAACCGAAAAATAAATATAAAATAAATGTTTTTCTGCATCATGTAAATATATCTACAGGGTGTCTAATATTAATAGTATACTTGCTTAAATTCTTTTTTATGCACATCAAAGTGGGATTACTTTTTAGCGGTGGCGATGATTTGTACACAAAGCGATTATAATTTGTTTGTCTTGAAATGTGAATTTTTATACAGGCTGTTACAAATTCGCTTCTCACTATAAAGATCTCGGAAACGGTAAGAGGTACGAAGTAGCTGAAAAGGGGGCAATGTTGCGTAATCAGGGGGATTAACATTATGCCTCTAAAAAATCAAGGCTAATTTTCGAAATATTTGAAATAAACCGAAATTTTGGAAATCCGTTTCATGTCAGCCTTGTTTGAGGTGATATTGAAAAAGGAAGAACACTTTCTCACGACCACTTTTTGCCCTTTATCGAATGGCATAATCAATTTTTATTTGTAACGTTTCGTCTCTCCAGGACCATCATCAACTTAATTTTTTGAAATACGGACCTAGAAATTGTATTACATTTTTTGCAAGCCTTCATGGCCCCCAATACTGTACTGCCTCAGCTCGAACCAGATTCAGACGTTTTGTCTCGAAAAATTCATCTTCAGTGTATTTATTCCAAATTTATCTAATTTTTGTATTTAGATTTCTTTATTTATTGACACTGTAAGTGACGTTAGAGTCTGTGAAATCCAACTAGTTATTTAAACTATTACCACCATGCGTTACAATAAAACATTATTAGAGTTTTATTCCCGTGTCCATAGTTATTTCTAGGCTTCTCGAGTGCTCAAAATTGAAACAAATTCAGATTTATTTTTTTTCAGGACATTCGTACAAATACATCTAACATGCTCTTTCACAGTTGCGGTTACAGATATAATGAATTCCGATAATATTACGCTGATTTTCATTTTCAACCTTTGCCAAAACGAAAATGTTTTTTGAACATTTACTGATATTTTTTAAAGAATAATATTCAGTTGACGTTTTGGTTGTTCATATGCATTTTTAAGAATTAATTTGTCATAATAAATAAAAATTAAAATTGTAATAATGTTTTAATTTTGAATGGTAATAGTTAATAATAATAAATGTTTTATTGTAACGCGTGGTGGTAATAGTTTAAATAACTAAATGGATTCAATAAACAAAGAAATCTAAATAAGAAATTTAGATAGATTTGGAACGAATACACTGAAGATGATTTTTTCGAGGCAAAACGTCTGAATCTCGTTCTAGTCTTCTTCTTTTTTCAATATCACCTCAAACAAGGCTGACAAACAAAAACGGACTTCCAAAATTTCGTTTTTTTTTCAAATATTTCGAAATAATGTTGGTTCCCTGATTACGCAACTTTGCCCCCATTTAAACTACTTCGTACCTCTTACCATTTCCGAGATCCTTGTAGTGAGAAGCGAATTTGTAACAGCTTGTATAGTGAAAACTTTCATAGAGAAATCGTCACCACAGTTACCGGGTGATTTTTTTAACCTGAAACTTTCTGAACTGAAACTGAAACTCTTGGGGATTATTTAAAAAATATTTGTACAAATTTACTTTAGTCTTTTATTATACTTGAAGTAGACATCACTGTAGATTTTCTCATATACAGGGTGGTTCTTAAAAAGTTGCACTAATAAAAGGGGCGATTCTTGTGACTATTTTACTGATTATTAAAAGCAAACTTGTTATTTAATTTTAAAATCAGGCAACGTTTTTTAATTTTTCATACTTTTTGCTGCAATGTATGTTTGTAACTAATTTTATTATCAGTCTATTTAATTTTATCTCATTTACGATTTTTCTGGAATCTTGTTAGGGAATTCTTAACTATAGTGGAGTTAATTTAATGTTACGAAAATTATGTTACTCAGACTCAAAATATTTTATCTCGCAAAACTGACAAACATGTTCATGGAAAATTCGGCGACAGTTTCGAAGACAGTATCGACATTTTTCGGTATATCGCTTTGTCATGTAGAAGGTGATAACAGGTACGTTAAAAAATGAATTTGTGATTGTAATTGCTATTACTCCGAAAATAATTTCACGTTTTTCTTTCAAGAAGACCTCTGGAGTTTTGAATGTAAAGTCCATCGTGTTTTCACCACAACTTTTTAAAACGGTAAGGTATGCCTAAGTAAAACAAGAAAAATAATTGAGGCTTCAACTGGGCAAGAAGACAAGTCGGTAAATCCCTTGAAATCGAGTATTTTGTACATATTAGATTTTGAAATATGTTATATTTTTGGGTGTGCCATTCACTATATTATGTGTGTTTAATCGATTTTTATTCTAGCGTACAGAAAATGTTCACGCAATATTTTGTCACATGCTACTTTCCCGAGCGAAAGTTTTTGGAACAGAAAACTTTTTCCTTAGCGGGAAAGTGCAAAATGTGAAAGGTAAACTCAAAAATTAATATATTACAATCACTCAGTTTGTTTCAAATCTGCAGATCAGTTTTTAAAAAAATAACAACGATCACATCTTACTTTATTTAACATATCTGTTATCAGTAGAATAAAAGCAAACGTAAATGGCACACCCAATGGTAGTAGTTTTTGTAGATACATAGATTTTGTTAAGCAAATAGTTAATACACAGCAGTTTATATTCTTTAAAAAATCACAACGACAAAAGTTAACTAACGGTAAAAAAATACTGAGATAATGATTAATTATTGAAGTAGTATGGTAAGTGGCAGTACCATTTAAATTAATAATTATTCGAGATTGCGTAAGACACGTTTTCCGAGGTAACGACGTTTTTGAAAGTAACTCACGTACAGTATAGTAAATCGTAAAAACTAGAGCCGTATTTAAAACTGTATTGGTGAAAGCAACAACTAAATTATGAAACATTGGAAATTGTTATAACAGCTTTATAAAAAAATGAACAACGCAAAGTAACTTAAACGCTATTTAAATCTATCATAAAACCTCTGGCAAAAACCTCTTTTTGTTGCATAACCTTAACTTTTGATCTTTACCTATTCATGGGAGGTATTTAGTTGGCATTACTGTAAATAACCTAACGACCTTTGACTTAGACATTTTTAATCACCTGTAGATATAGCAATGACTCCTACTCTACTACAACAAAAATCTACCGAATAACATGTAAATATTTTTCTATAGAACAGCACCTTGTACATACTTTAGTATTTCCATATCTCTTATAACTATCTATTTTTTGTAGTGCCTAAGCTTACCTTACACAATGTAGAGTGTCTATTCAGCCACAAAATGTTGTGATTGTTTTTCAGAGAAGTGACATATTTACGCTTGAAAAGGCCTTGAAAAAAACTTTTTCAGCGGTACAGCACTTGATATTTATCTTTTACAGTTAGACATTGACTATATCTGTCAACATATTTTTACATAATTGACTTTTAATATGTCTGCAGAAGCAGGAAATGTTATATAACGCTATTTTATAAACTGCAAATTATACGAAATGTCATAGGTGTTCAGAACGTTAATATAGGTAAAAAAAACAAATGTAATTAAAATTTTTGCATATCACCCGGTACAAATATTAACGGAAACAATATCATGGAAATATACTAGCATTCAGATAATTTTCCGCTGCCTAATCGACATCAACTACTAAACTATGTTGATTGTCTTTGTTTGCGAGACAAAAAGTGGTTGTATGGGTAGACCAATACGCTTAGCAATTACTGCGGGTAGCCGCAATAATCCATGTGCACCAGCCCCGTGGAAACCTAGCAATAAAGATGCTTATAGACATGCCATTTCTTTTACTTCAAATATTTGACCACGCATACAGGGTGCTAATGAACTTGGTGCCGGTGCCCAAAACTCAGCGCTACAGCAACAAATGTTCCCGGTGCGGGACATGTCGTTCAGGATATATTGCACGGTACACTTGACAAGCTCTGTGGGCATTTTCGTTTGCTTCGCCATAAATTATGAGCATATCATAATATTTGCGATTGCTAAATAAATGCGCCATTTCAAAAGAAAACTTGGAAATACGGCTATTAAACGTACTCTCGAAAAACAGCACAGCAATCACTACAACAATGTATTACAAACTAACCTTCGAATACAGTCCGGCTTCATAAGAAACCTACAAACTCGTAAAAAGTGTTTTTTATAAGTACTCGAAATACATGTATTTCAGCAGTTCCAAAACAGTTTTAAACACATTTTTAATTAGCTTGTTTCTCTATGACCTTAAACTTCCGATACAAGGTAGTGACATCATTTAACTCAGTATTTATTCCTTTTTCACCCTTTAAATTTTTGGCATAAGTTCATTAGCATCCTGCATAATTTATTTGTAGTAATGCACCGATTAATACTACTCTGTTTAATTTACCCAGTTACAAAACTTTTCGAAATGCTATTCCACTCAAATCTCATGTATATATGGAGGCGAGAAAATTTATGTACATACGGATTTTGTAAAATTTACGTTTTTTTTTTGCTACACTTTCGAATTATATGCTTTTTATTAATATAGTGATGAGAGTAGCGTCGCACCCGCCCAACCCTCAATCGCAACAGCAACTGCGACAGCAAGAAACCTTTACAACAGTAGTCAGTATACCAGCAACCACTACGACCCTTACTATGCTTTATATGATGACGACGTCGAACTTTATAGAGACGTTGGTAAGTAAAAAGTATGAAGTGGCGTCTAAGTAATTTTCAGCGATTTTAAACTAAAGGCAAGTTAACTTTGAAGTGTTTTGAACTCGTGTTTGTTCTATAATTGGGAGTTTTTCTTGAGAAATATGTTTATTTCATACATTTAGACAAATGCTATCTATCATTTAAACAGGATGTGCAAAAAATAAGAAGGTACGAAACAGTACACACTTTTCCTAGGCATTTGCTGGATAACTTTTCCTTCCAGTTGCGAGGGGTAGAAGTGACTACCCCTTCAAGAAATCTCTTGCGCAACTTTTTTGAAATAATAAATTTAATCTCTGGGAACATAATTAACTTTTTAAAAAACTGTTTAAAACAGTTTTAAATGATCATGTTGACGATAGACAAAAGGTTACGCAAAAATTACACGCAGAGGTAATTACTTCTACCTATTGCAGTGGAAGTGGAAGAAGATATTATTATTTATTTACGCCCTGCATGTTAATTTGATATGATAAAAATGAGCCTAGTTGCAAAAACGTATGAGCTTTTGTCCATTCATCAAAGTTTGTTTATCTCCATCGCCATAAAAATTTATATGATGTATCTGGTTACATTTCTTACGTTAGTAGTGTCATAAAGTTCTAATATGCGTTTTATTTCTTTATTATTACGTAATTGCATTTGAAAATATGCTGCAGAATGACACATCGAATGCTCTTTGAATTGATATAAAAAATAAAAATAGTACAAACTATTTCAGATACGTCCTTGAATATTTTTTGCAGTAGTTGAAGGTTTTTTTATCGTTAGATAAACAGTATCTCACAAATATTCGAATGATATTCCCTGCTGCCGTGCATTAGTAGAAACAAGTGGTTTTTGAAGTAAAGGTGTATACTATGTTTTGCGAGGATATTAAACAAATGAAATGTATTCTAATTACATCCGCAGTTATAGTGACAACTATTTTTTTGGTGATATTATACCCAATATCAGAAGGTAAATTGTTGTTATTAGTACTATCCATATTAATTCCACAAAATTATGTTATTAAAAAAAATTGCTTACCGCTGATTTCAAATTGTGTTATTAGTTGCCAGCCTCCATATACAATCTTCAGTAATAGCTTTCGACATCTGCAACAAAGAAAAGAAACATATATACAGGTTGCCCTGATTTATGCAATATAGAAGTAAGTAAAAAAAAACAAATGAATCAGATATTTTTTTAATAGATCCAAACTAAGAATGGGGCCATTTTTTATTCAAAATCTAAACTAATCTGTTGTTCTACATCTAACTACATCCGTAAGTATTGTATTCATTGAAATATTTTAAATACAAATTTGGAAATGTGACAGAATCGGGTATATTTGCATTTGGTAAATTATTTTATTTTTTACTCACTTAATTTGCTGTGAATTAACGCCGAAAATAGAACAGTTTTGCACGAACAATTCGCTTTCTTGCTTGTACAATTAATCATTAATAATTGAAGTAGGTTATGCCCATAGGGCAGAGAATAATGTTACTAGATTTTGATTAAAATAAATTAGTAGTAAGAATTTTCGCCCAAATAGTCCAGGCGGTAGAGCATTTTAGCGTTCGTATTTGTTGTTCAGAAAAATCCCAAATATTATGTAGAATAAGAATCCGAGTTTGCTTATTCCAAAAAACTATTGCTAAATTGAAGGGAACAACATACAAAAAAAAAACGAAAAATGGTCCGTTTTCGACATATTTTATAATATTGAAATCTAAATAAAAAAAGTCATTCTTTATTTTTTGTTTATTTGACGATTTTCTATAAAGTTCAACAAGTGCGAATGAAAAAAGTTGCATTTTGTATTAACAATGGGCGAAAAATAGTAGAAAATCATATGTATATTTGGAGCAATTTTTAAAATAAGTAAATATTTATAAATATTGATGAAACTTTGTGAACAAATAGTAAAACATATGCCAATTCTACCCTAAAAATTTTGAAACGATCGATCGCGTGCTTTTGGATTGACAGGATTGTTAATTAAGAAAATTTCAAAAAGTATCGCGTACTGTGGATTTAAATTAAGGTTTAGAAAGGGCACACAATTTTTTAGAGATACTTGTTGTCATAATAAACGAATGTCAATACTACAAATACCTATTTTTACACTTTTGTAACCATTTAGAATTTTTTTAAAATTTTACTCTATAAACAATTATTTATTGCCCAGAGAATTTTCTATGCAATCGACAAAATCTTGCACACATAAAAACTACGTCGTAGCCCTTTGCTTTTTAGCCAAATACGGCAGCATTCTACTATGTAGATTCTGATATATAGAAACATAAAGATAATAATAATTTATAGCTAACTACAAGTACTTTTAATATCCGTTTAGTGCATTTTCGGCAGATAAAAGCTTAATGAAAGAAAAATCAAGAAAGTGGTCACTGGAATGTAGCGGTAGATCGGGAGTGGGGATGACTGAGAGCATCACGACGATTTTATTTAATTTGATATAGCAAAATGAGAGGAATATGTCATCAAAAATCAATAAATTAAATAATTTTTGCACGAATTTTGAGTTTAAAGAATTATGCCACCTTCGTTTTTTAAAAAATAGTTATATTATGGTAATCAAGTTTTATTAGTTTGTGTTCATCAATGCATTCCACGAAATTCACGTTTTAATTAAATTAAAAATATATTTTCGTATTTTAATGATCTCTCTGTTAATTCATTGAAGTATAACAAAATTTTCAGTTAAATTAATGATACGAGGTAGTTGTTATTAACAGGAAAAATTGTATAAAAATCGATAAATTCGAATAATTTGATTTCATAACAATAGATAAAAATTATGTACATATCTTAAAATATTACAATTCGAGCCTCGCTTTCTTCAAAGGATTCATACAATTCTCATCGCTATCTGCCTCTTCATCATCATTATCATCTTCATCATTCTAGATGGTTATAAAAGTGTAAAAGTAGGTATTTTTAGTATTGATCATTGTTTATTATGACTACAAGTGTCTCTAAAAAATTGTGTGCCCTTTCTAAACCTTCATTTAAACCCACGGTACGCGATAAACTTTTTGAAATTTTCTTAATTAGCAATCCTGTCAACCGATAAATATTTACTTATTTTTTTTCGTTTTTTTTTTTGTATGTTTGTTGTTCCCCTGAATTTAGCAATGGTTTTTTGGAATAGGCAAACTCGGATTCTTATTCTACATAATACTTGGGATTTTTCTGTAAAACAAATTAAATGACTTCAAACACAAACGCCTACTTTTACTGCTCTACCGCCTGGTCTAAAAAAAGGGCGTGCACACTTACGATTTAACGACAATAATTTCAAGGAATTTATTCAATATAAATATATACATTCTTGGAACATAGTAAAAAAATATGTATTTGATTTGAATGGTATGTACACTTATAAATCAGGACACCCTGTATACAGCATTTAGTAAATAAATAAATATTATATCATCAATAAAATAATTGTTAAATAATTTGAACAAACGTTTTTTATCGTACCGGGACCATTTGATGTATTTACTTGCAAACAACCAAATGCTCATAGTCGCTGATGATGGTTATTGGTTTAGATTATTCTCAACATAATTATAATAATGCTCCAAGAGCCCAAACTACAAGCTACAGAGGTACTCCCGCACCTGTCGTTCAGTCGACTTCAACTCGAGAAGAACCACCAAAGCGTGGAAATTCCGTTTATCTGAACAATTACAGTCAGGACATATACCAACAGTCAACGGGTGCAGATTATGCAGACGACAACAGATATGACGCGCAGGTACATTAATTTTAAGTAAATTGTTTCGTAGTTGTTATTTGCATAACAAAAATTACAGGTGGATGATCAGACATCTTACAGGCAATCTAGCAGGCAACCGACTAGGTAAGATTTTTTTTATTAGTACTTTTATGTGTTATTATGTAAATAATGTAGTCTTAGGGGAGACAGGAATGAGTTAAATGATGTTGAAGAAGCCATCACTAAAAGAACGACGACTAGTACCACCACAAGAAAAACAACAACAACAACTAGAACCACCACAACAACGACGACCCCACGAACTATTCCCCCCAAAAAGAGTACACCACCACCCCCAGCAAGGTACTACAAAATAAGAAGCATCTGGCAGTTCGCAGCGCATGCATGATTTTTTTTACCATAGCATCATTTTTTTCATTCGACGGCTTTGCTCATTTTTGTAGTATCTTTCATTTCATCCTACGTTTCGAACTTCATCGCCCTCTTGCGTTCATTTGATATGTTTTATGGAAAACGTCATTGTAACTCATGTAGCGTTGTAGATGTTTTTTACTAATACTAATGTCTGCTATAAGATGAGATTGCAGCCTCATACCAAACTTTTAAAGCTTTTTTCCCCTTGGAATGATCCTTTTAACAGTTTAATACAATTTGTGCTTCTGCAATTATACTGTCCGCCCCCTTGGTATGATCGACGTGTTGCTTGCTGTGACCTCATCTTAGTTTTTGTCTCGAAATAGGGTATTACAACAGGTATCGTTTCTTCTAGCAGTACGCCTGTCACAGCCAAAGAAAATCAAACACAAGCACAGTCAATTTTTAATACAATACCAGAGGACCCGGGACACACCCTTGATGTTCCTGCAATTTTACCATCAGACCCGATCCCTTCCATTGTTTCTGGCAATAGACCCGACATATCTACGACTGTGCCAGCTACACTTAGACCAAAATCCCTCGAAACACATTCAGACATTACCTTGCATGATAGTAGTTTTCGTGACGATTCTGTAATTAAGAAACCTTCTCCTTTCTCTCTTCCTTCGCAAATAACAACTGTAAAACCTGCTTTTCACTATATTACTAAGGCACCCAAGTCAACAACTCTCGTCTCTAGCACTGAACATTTACATAGCACTGATGATGAATTAGGTAGTTTTAATAAAACAAATGTTATTAACCAGCACCAAACAAGCACCGTCCGTAGATCTAGAAATAAAATTATAGTACCCACAACATATTCACCCCCAAAATTTTTTCTTAAATCTATACTAAAAAAACCCGTTTCACACACCACACCGATATTTATACCCACAAACGCATCTGACGCCCAAAGAGATAACGTATTACGCAGACCTGAAGCTCAAAATAGATTCTACAAAACGTTAAGAGCAGTACGCAAATTAATTAATCCAGTCGTGTTAAACCACGAATTGTCTGCCACAACTGGTACGAGTTATGCTTCCGCCGAACAACTAGCCTCGGACGTAAATGAAGAGCTAGTTTCGAATTCGCAAGATTACCAAAATTCAAATTCCCTTACCACTGAACCGAAAGCGTTAGATTCGAGAGTATCATCGACAACTGTCAGATTTTCTGGCATAAAACCAGTCACAATAAAAATGAAAACTACTACCACTACCACGTCAACTACTTCTCTCAAAACTACTACCACAGCCAAAATACCTCCTAGCACTTATTCAACACCTGTAACAACCAGGAAACATTTTAACGATGATTACGTCAGCGAACGGTTACGGTCGCGTATCGAAAACGAAAAAGCGAGCGATTACGTAGAACCAGACCAAAGTAACTTTACTGCACCAGTAAAAAAACGTTTCCGCACAACAGTAGAAATACCCCCTGCACATGAATTGTTAGACAGTGATGATAAACAGAAACCAGAGCCGGACCAACCTCCACTATATAAGCCCAAACCCCTCCCCAAGCCCGTATCCACCGCGACCAAGACAGATGTCCCTCAAAACACCTCTGTTCCCACTAGAGCATCCCGGGTAAATGCAGCAATTAAAACATTAATTGCGAACGGGGGGACGCGGAGACCTAATACAAAATGTAATGAGAACCAAAGCCCCAATTCAAAATGCAACAACGACCCAAAGCAGAGGTATTTATTCCTCATATAGTAAAAGTTGCAAAAGTAATTTGCATGATCACCGATTCTTTCTCTTAATCTATTGCACCTTTTCTGTTAACTATATCTTCCCTACACGCTTCATCGGGACTAGCAAGGACGGATTTTGGTAACTCCTTAAGAGACTGGAAGTTGACTTTGGACCTTACCCATCCCCACAGAGTAACACTTGCAAATTTAACACACACAGTTTGGTTACCAGTCACATTCTACATATTACATCTGCGGATCGGGTTATTATAATGTGTAGCTCAATATTAACCAAACATCGTGCATGTGACGTGGTGAAAGAATAACTAGCAACTTAGCACTACTTAAAAACTGTTCCAGTCAAGCCTCTAAAGCAAAACATTTTATTTTAGAACTAGCTCAAGAGGGCGAGGTACTGCCCACTACGCTAGCAACGGGGCGCAAATAACCAATAACGAAGTTACAGTCAACACAAACCGCGGAACACCTGCGCCGTAAGTACCACCCATTACTTTGTGTCACAAATGTATAATTGTCGCTTTATAGACGATCCAGACCAACCCTAAAACCGTCAACATCGATCGTTTCCAAAGCACAAGAATTTGTTGACATTTATAAGTACCCCCCAAGACGACCCGATCCAATTTACCCACAACCTCAACCAGACAAAACAGCTGCCAAGTGCAGGAAGGATGTGTGTTTGCTTCCGGACTGCAGCTGCGGTGGAAAAGAAATCCCTGGTAAGTTAAGATTCTAAAAACAGCAGTAGAAGTAGTCACTTACAGATATATACAGGCCCCCGTTCCCGATAAACATTATAATGTGCATGTTAGAAATATTTTTTATTAAATAGGAGATTTACCCGTGGAGGAAACGCCCCAGATGGTTCTAATGACCTTTGATGACGCTGTTAATGATTTAAATAAAGAATATTATATCGAATTGTTCGAGAACGGACGGAAGAATCCGAATGGTTGTCCAATTTCAGCTACATTTTACGTGTCCCACGAATGGACCGATTACAGCCAGGTGCAAAACCTCTACGCGGACGGCCACGAGCTAGCCTCCCATACCGTTTCGTAAGTGGCCCAGTTTTGGACGGGGTCTGGAGCTGGCAGCTGTACTGTACTTTACTTGAACTTTTTTTTACTTGCTTTGTTGCTTTGCGATAGCTGATTACAAGTTTATAACTTATTTTTCTTTCTGTCTTTTTTCTGTGCTACTAACAAATAGGAGACCTCCCTGTTGAACAAGTACCCCAAATCGTATTGCTTACCTTCGACGATTCCGTGAACGATTTGAACAAAGGCTTGTACATGGACTTGTTCGAAAAAGGTAGAACCAATCCCAATGGATGTCCCATAGCCGCCACGTTCTATGTATCTCACGAGTGGACAGATTATAGTCAAGTGCAAAATTTATATTCTGATGGACACGAAATTGCTTCACACACCGTGTCGTAAGTCAACCCCACTATTGCACTCTACGTTATCATCAATTGCACCCCTAACCTCTTGCAGTAGCGTGGTAACCCGTGACATTGTCGCTTAACAATATTATAACTTTATATTTCATACGCTTGCGTGTCTAACTCACGAACTTAATTCCATTGACCATATTACTAACCTATATTCAATTAGGCATAGCTTTGGAGAACAATTCTCCCAAAAGAAATGGACCAGAGAAGTAGCCGGACAAAGAGAAATTCTATCTGCTTATGGAGGTGTTCACTTGGAAGACGTTAGAGGAATGAGAGCCCCGTTCTTATCGGTAAGATCCTTTCGATTCACTTCAAATTTTATACTAACAGAAACATTCATTAGGTGGGTGGAAACAAGATGTTCAAGATGTTGTATGATTCAAACTTCACATATGACTCTTCTATGCCTATCTACGAAAACAAACCACCTAGTTGGCCTTACACCCTTGATTACAAACTGTTCCATGACTGCATGATACCTCCCTGCCCAACAAGATCATACCCAGGTGTTTGGGAAGTACCCATGGTTATGTGGCAAGACTTAAATGGTGGTAGATGTTCGATGGGTGATGCCTGTAGCAACCCACCAGATGCTGAAGGAGTCTTCAAGATGTTGACGAAGAATTTCCAGAGACATTACACTACCAACAGGTATGCCACAACACTCTGTGTACCTTGCTAGTAGTTTGACACATTTTCTATTTAATAGGGCGCCATTTGGTTTATTCTACCACGCAGCTTGGTTCACACAACCTCATCACAAAGAAGGATTCATCAACTTCATCGACAGCATCTTAGCCATGAAGGATGTTTGGTTACTTACCAACTGGCAAGCCATTCAGTGGGTCCGAGATCCTACCCCAGTTTCAAGGATAGGTTCCTTCCAACCGTTCCAATGCGAATACTCTGTAAGTGTTATTTGAAATGATTGTTAAAAGCAACTGGAACGTGTTTCTTTTTATTTAGAACCGCCCTAAGAGATGCAACAATCCAAAAGTATGCAACTTGTGGCACAAGTCCGGAGTAAGATACATGAGGACCTGCCAGCCATGCCCAGATATCTATCCATGGACTGGAAATACGGGAATACGCAGTAGTAGAATCGACAACGACATCGAGGATTAGCGGAGCCAAATTTTTGTGGTTGACATGAACTTAAAGTCAATAATAGGCCATAACAACATTATTTTAAATGTTGTTTAATTCTTAAGGTACCTAAGAAACGTATTTAAAAAAGAACCGATGTTGTTTAGGTGTCAAGACACATCGCTATGTGATGGTCATCATACCTCGCCAACATCATTTTTATGGCCTCATAGAAAAATTTGTAAATATTTAATGTAACTAATTATAAAATATCCTAATGCTGCCGTTGAAATTAGTTAATTCTCGAACTGCGTATAGCACACTTTTTAGCAGTTTTGTAATATTTTTTACCTGTATTTAAAATATCTAATTTATTGTATTTCCAACTTTTTTAAGATCGATTTTCTCTATGTGAACCAGTGAGTGATAGATTATTAAATAAAATACTCTTTATACATCGGAGTTTTATTTTCAATTACCCCATCCCCACTGAAATTAATAAATCAATTTGGAACACCTGCAAGTAGTTAATTATTAAAATCTATTATTCCTCACCCCTTATAAAACGGAACCAAAACAGATCTATCTTTAATCTACAAGCAACAATGAAACTACATCTTCTAAGTGTTCTAATTGTTGTAATAACTGCAAAATGTGAAGGTGCAGACAAAAGAGCTTTACAAAAATTTCACGAAAAACCGCCCTGGATAAAATGGTCAGAAACGTTTTTTGGAAAAACGATGGTGGATCAACAAGCTTACTTGGTTAAACTTTTAAAAAAAGTGACTAACGATTACTTATCAGAATGCACCCCCGTTATATTATACGACACTTTCACGGAGTTATACGACAATTTGCTCTTGGAGAAACTACTAACTAATTTCCCATTCGCGTATATCCACGGACAAATTACCGACAACTACGAACTTAAGGTAAAAACCACCCTGGATAAAAAGGCGCAGAGTTCTTGTGTGAGTTACATACTGTTCATGAAGGACGTCATGCGAAGTAAAGACGTCATCGGGGAACAGAACTGCAATAAAGTTATCGTAGTAGCAAGATCGTCGCAATGGAGAGTTATCGAATTTTTATCCCACAAGGAATCGCAAAATTTCGTTAACTTACTCGTCATTGTTAAGTCAGGCCAAGTAGTACCTCAGAATGAAGTTAGTAAGTACTGCATTGTTGTGAATGTAACTAAGTGATCATTTTTAGGAATCGCCGTATATTTTGTACACGCACAAGTTGTACGTAGATGCTATAGGGTCGAGCAAGCCTGATGTCCTAACGACGTGGATGAAAGGGAAATTCACAAGACACGTTAATCTATTTCCGAAGAAGATGGTTTATGGGTTCTCGGGTCACAGATTTCTCGTGGCTGTTTCGCACCAACCGCCGTTTATAGTAAACAAGTATGTCAAGCATTTATTGAACCAAGATTACCTACAAAAAATGATCCAGGGTGATAACAATGGGAAAATCGAAAGCTGAAGATATTACACGTGACATGGTGACTATTGGCGCAAACATGCCTTATCCGAAAGTTGATAGTTTCGGAAATACAGGGTGTTAAAATTAAAGTTAAAATTTTAAATCGTTTTTTTGCGATTATTCTGAAAATATGTAGGTTAGGAACTTGAAAATTTGTGAAACTATATTTTTTTAGGCGACGAATAAGATGCGTGTTGTAATTTCTCAGCATTGCTCATAGAGTACGCCACTTACGACCAATTTTACCGAAAATTGAGTTAATAACTTTTTACCCTGTATATCTAACATGGAACTTGATTCAAAACCTGAAAGAGCAATCATTTTTCCATTAATTGTGTATACATGTTTCATTTCGGCATCTCGATCCGTTTTCGAGAAAAATCGATTTAACGAACACTATGTTTTGATAATACGAGAAATTAAAAGCGAAACAAACCAAGTGTTTATTCGTGTTATTACAACAATTAACAATAAAACAAATGAAATTCGTAATAATGATTTAAAGTCAGTGTTCGAAGAATCCACCGTTGACATTTACACACTTTACACAACGTTTTCTGAGAGATCTTCGAGTTTGAAACAACATATTGGGATTGCGTTTGACTTCGTTGGCAGCGATTTGTATTCTTTGCCACAACTCTTCACACGAACCAATAGATTCTTCCAATTAGAAAAATGAAGAGGATTGAAGTCCAGACTTCTGGGTGGCCAAGTAAAAATGCTTCCACGGCTTGAAGAAGTTCCACTTTATTTAAGAAGAGACACGTGGTTCATGCACGACGGAGCTCCACTGCATTTTTCTTGGCCAGTGCGTGCATATTTAGATGCAGTTTTTCCAAATTGCTGGATTGGCCATGTAAGCATTTTTGCTTGGCCATTCAGAAGTCCGGACTACAGTTTACAAAGAATCTATTGGCTCGTGTGAAGAGTTGTGGAAAATAATACAAATCGCTGCCAACGAAGTCAGACGCAATCTCAATATGTTGTTTCAAACTCGAAGATCTCTCAGAAAACGTGTAAAGTGTATCGGTGTCAACGGTGGATCCTTCGAACAATTACTTTAAATCATTATTACGTATTTTATTTGTTTTATTGTTAATTGTTGTAATAACACGAAGAAACAAGTTTGTTTTGCTTGTAATTTTTCATTATCAAAACATAGTGTTCGTTAAATCGATTTTTCTCGAAAACGGATCGAGATACCAAAATGAAACAAGAGTACATAATTAATGGAAAGATGATAGCTCTTTTAGGTTTTTAATCAAGTTTCATGTTAAATATACAGGGTAAAAAGGTATTAACTAAACTAAAAAAAAATATAGTTTCACAAATTTTCAAGTTCCTAACCTACATATTTTCAGAATAATCGCAAAAAAACGATTTAAAATTTTAACTTTCAACACCCTGTATTTCCGAACCTATCAACTTTCGGATAAGGCATGTTTGCGCCAGTGGTCACCATTTTACGAGTAGTATCTTCAGCTTTCGACTTTCCCATTGTTAATGAATAACCCTGTATTTCTGTAAAATACATTAATGTAGACGTTTTATTCAGGGGGAGAAATGAGAATGGCGACAACATTTACGAAGGCATTGAATTGCGACTGATCGAAATGTTGGCCAAAAGGTTTAATTTCACCACGGACTACAAAGAGGCCCCTGATGCTGACGTAATGGGGTAAGTAGAATTTATAAAAAAGTATTTCTTTTCTGAATAAATTTAGAGGATTTAAATAATACAGCACATAATTTTTAGATGTATATTTTAAAAATTCAACTCCTATTTAGTCCTTTAACCTTGGCTTGACGGGAATGTTCTTAAACAAAACTATTTGTAAATTAAGTAAATACGAAAATTGTAAAAAGATTTGAAAAACATTAAAGTCAGTAAGAAGACCCAAGACAATCATAAAAATTTGTCATTACGCTTTCTCATCACGAAAATGTTCGATTTGATCATAATGATGTTTCTACAGGGTGTATTTAAATGAAGAATAAATTGATAAACCAGATAAACTTGAGGTCAAAATACAATTGGGTCAAATACAGGCTGTTACAAATTCGCTACTCACTACAGGGATCTCAGTAATGGTAAGAGATACAAAGTAGCTTAAATGGGGGGCAAAGTTGCGCAATCAGGAGACCAACATTATGCCTCTAAAAAATCAAGGCTAACATGATGAGTTTTCAAAATATTTGACAAATACCGAAATTTTGGAAATCCGTTTTTGTTTCATTTCAGCCTTATTTAAGGTGATACTGAAAAAAGAAGAACACATTCTCATGGCAACTTTTTGCCCTCTATCGAATGGTATAATCAATTTTTATATGTAACGTTTCGTCTCTCCAGGACCATCATCAACTTCATTTTTTTAAATACGACCCTGGAAATTTTATTACATTTTTTGCAAGCCTCCATGACCCCCAATACTGTACTGCCTCAGCCCGAACCAGATTAAGATGTTTTGTCTCGAAAAATTCATCTTCAATGTATTCGTTCCTTTATCTAAATTTTTTATTTAGATTTTTATGTTTATTGAATTATCGTATACTCTAAGTGGCATTAGACCCTGTGAAATCCACCAAATCATATTACGCTTATCTTCATTTTCAACATTTGGCAAAACGGAAACGATTTTGAACATTTACTCCAATTTTTTTAAGTATAATATTCATTTGGAGTTTTGGTTGTTCATACGCATTAATTTGTCATAATGAAATTAAAATTGTAAAAATGTTTTAATTTTGATTATGAAGGAGATTAAAACTTTAATAATGTTATATTGTAACATGTGATGGTAATAAGTAACGACACTTAGAGTATAATATAATTCAACAAACATAGAAATCTAAATAAAAAATCTAGATAAATTTGGAACGAATACATTGAAGATGATGAATTTTTCGAGACGAAACGATTGAATCTGGTTCAGGCTGAGGCAGTACAGTATTGGGGGTCATCAAAATATGTAATAAAATTACCAGGGTCGTATTTAAAAAAATTAAGTTGATGATGGTCCTGAAGAGACGGAAGGTTACATATAAAAATTTATTATGCCATTCGATAGAGGGCAAAAAATTGCCATGAGAAAGTGTTCTTCTTTTTTCAATATCACCTCAAGCAAGGCTGAAATGAAACAAAAACGGATTTTCAAAATTTCGTTTTTTTTTCAAATATTTCGAAAATTATTGATTTTTTATTGGTCTCCTGATTATGCAACTTTGCCCCCATTTAAGCTACTTCGTAGCTCTTATCGTTTCTGAGATCCCTGTAGTGAGAAACGAATTTCTGACAGCCTGTATACTCTAGTTTAAAGTTACTTAATAAGATGTTTAACTTCATTGGATCTGTACATGATTATGTCACCAGTGGCGGAGACACTGGGGATACCCTAACTATAAATAACAAAATTTCAACACCACTGACTGTTTTAGAAATAAGTTCTGCAAGTTAGTTTGATTGATAAATGCAATTTAAAGGAAGAATGTCTGTCAATTTTATTTTGAATATAAGAATTTTTTTCAAGTAATTATTAATTCCAGTACAAAAGATCCGTTTTCTATTTATTTGATATTTTACCATTTGTGAACAAAATTTTGAAAAATCAATGAAACAATGAAGTTCAAAATCAAAAAAATTAATCCATAGTGTACCTTGTGAATGCAATGAATACTATGTTCGAGAGAAATCTCAACCTGTGAATATTAAAATAAACGCACACAAAGATTGCAATAAAGAACAAATATTTGGGGAATTATATTTTTTTCATTTAATGGTCAATGGTCATGTAATTCAATTGGGTTCGGCCAAAATTTTGGAAACGGAAAATAATATCGTTACAAGAAAATTAAAAGGGACCGCGATTATTTTATTCAACGGTGAAAGATGTGTCAAAAATTACTTTGTAAACTTGAATTCTTGAATTAATTAATTAAATTGGTTAAAAATATTTAAAATAATATTTTAAATATGAAGCAAAACAAACTTAAACTGTCAAAAATATTTAAAAACAAAGTCAGTCAGTCCAGAAGGTAACTCTTTGAAGTGATGTGTATTTTGTATTGACAGCTTTTTTCAGTGATTTTTGGTTGGGCAAAACTATTTTCACAAAAAATAATCCTTCACAGGTGGCAAAATAAATACCCAATAAAGAAAAACAATAATAATTAATAATAATAAAATAGCAGTAGTGAAAAATTAGCATGCATTGTTTTCGTGAAGGTACAGTTTCAAAATTTTCTATTTATTCAACTGCATGATAAATTTATTTTAGGCTAAAAATAACTCGAAAACAACAATGAAAAACATTTTATTTTTTGAAATTCAATTGTGAATCAAATGAACTTACAGTATGCTCAAAATACTCAGTGGCGTCGAAATTCTGGTCTAGTAAAGGGGTAAAGGGGTCTTGTTATTATTATTATCTCCGCTACTGTTTAATACAATTGCATACACATTCAGTGACCCTTTACTTGGATACGCCCAAGTTTAATTAATTTTGACCTGGAGATTATCTGGTAGCAGTTCTGCCTGTTCCACTTTATTTATGTACACCCTGTACTAAATACAGGGTGTCCCGAAATTAATGCAACAATATTTGGTCACAGATTCTTAAGACAAATTTATTTTTGCCATGTGGCCCGCTCTTTCGGAGTTATGTCCCCTGAAATTCACCCCTAAGACTAGTCTTTTTTTATATCTCAGAACCCTGTTGTACAAGAATCACTAAATTTGGTACACAGGGGTTTTATGACATGTGGAATCTGATAGTGCTACGCTGCCGGAGCGAATTAAAGCTCTTTCATTTTTATTACTGGTAGAAGCAACTAGCTCGCGAGTGATTCTAATAAAACCGATAATTTTACTTAGATTAATCACCAGTGAACCTTAAACCACACCAAAGAGCTTACCAGAAAAGTTTTTTTTAAAGAGTGTTGAAAAGTTGATCAGAGTTTTGAAAAGTTTTTTTAAAAAAGTTTATAGAAAAGTTTTTATAAGTTTTAAGAACAGTTGTTCTTATTAGTTTTGAAAGGCCTATAAGGTTCTTCATTTTTGAGAAAAGTCTCAAATTATTTATTACATTAAAGTTTGGCGAATGTCATTAAAAATTCGTTGTAATAGTCTCTTAGATCGACATAGCGATCATTTAGCGAAATTTCAGTAGCTAAAATTACGATAGTCACTGCAATTTAAGTCAAACATTCTACTATTTTTTGGTAAACCTGGAAGGGATTAGGTCACACTTGAGCTCCAGATTCGAGTCTTCGGTCTAGGACGCCAGGACATCAGAGACCCTGTATTCCGCCGAACATCCGGTAAAAGTGAGAAATATAGGGAACTTTTATTTGTGCTATTTTATTTTCTCCAATCCCGACCTACAGGGAGAGGAAACTTTAGGAGGTTGTTTTGCTAGTTTTTTTGTAGGTTGGCGCCCTTTTGGTATCTTTTATCTCCCCTTAACGTTTTCCTCGAACTGGTAAATATACGGGGTGATTCAGAACTTATCAAAAAAAAATTCTGGATGTACAGGGGACCCTTACAAATACAATTTTGTAAAGAAAAAATTAAAACGAGCAGTTCGAAAATGATTTAAAAATACACTTCTGCACGGCACTGGAAACTGGTCCACTGTAAAACCTGACCTCGCACAATGCGACCGGCATGGCGGTGTGATAAAAACGGACAAAAACTTTCGCAAGGAAAGAAATATGTAAATAGAATTTTATCGCACCTATTTTATATCGGCAAATTCAACTGCTTTTGCCTTTATTAATTAATAAAATTAATTTGTGTTTTTAAATAATAAAATCATTTGACATACCCGATGTTACAACAATTGTTCAAAATTTTATCCACCAATGTGTAAACACATTTGGGTCCGTTGTACTCAGTTTCTACGAACTAACACAAATGTTGTCTTGTTTCACCATAACACAAATGCTTCACCATAAATTAAAACGATATCCATCAACTCCGAGTACACGCAAACCATTTTTGACACTAACTACCCATTTTTGACACTAACTACTAAAAACCTATTGTAAACACCACAGATAACAGGTAAATATCACAACGACGATTGCAAAATCCGAATTCAGTATTCGGAGTCGCTGAGGCCACGTGGCGAATGACGCTAGAGACTACAGTTGTCCAGCTATGTAGTGGTTGAATGTACTATATAACTTCAATATTTTTTCTCGGAAACTATAAGGATTTTACAAAAATTTTTTTTACGATATTCATTCCATTTCTCATGCTGCATCTATTCCCAAATTTTTTGGATAAGTTGTGAATCACCCTGTATATGCTGCGAATCAACATTAGAACCGACCCACTGCCCATTGCCGCCGCTATAAGAGGTGCCGTTCGCACTTTGTAACATGAACCTTTAAATAAACGCTATTAGAAATTCAAATATCAACCAAATTTTTTTGGTTCCAAAGACAAGGAGCCCACGAAAAAGTGGGGGTTCCCCGACAAAAAACGTAACACTAACAGATTCCACATGTCATAAAATCCCTGTGTACCAAATTTAGTGGGGTTCCGAGGTATAAAAAAGACTATTCTTAGGGGCAGACTTCAGGGAGGTGTAACTCCGAAAGAGGGGGGCGACTTGACAAAAATACGGGTTCCCTAAATCTGTCTTGAATCTACGTCCGTATTTTGTTGCAATAATTTCGGGACACCCTGTATAAAAAAATTACAGTGTTCTATGTTCTTTTAGTAGAAGTCAAAATTCGAAATAAAATATTAGATGTTAGTAACAACCAATACAACACGTAACTTACATCAAAATTAAATTATCTGCGGATCTCGTTCGCTATTTATTTTTCTGAAAGAAATTTAAAATTAGACAAATTGTTTCAACTTAACAAAATTAAAACATAATAAAAAAAAAATTCAGTCTTGTATAAAATCATTAGAATGGTTATAAAACCAATATTCATCACTAGTTAATTTAAATTTAAACTGTCAATCATTCCGTAACTGAAAAAATTATATGTTTTTAATTAAAACTTTGTTTCACAATAATCCTTATAGGAAAACAGCTATAACTACAGTTGATAGAATGAAATATTTAATTCTAGAACGGGTATTATATATTTCCTTATTTATCTGTAAAGTACAATATTTTATCTTCAATGTAAACTAAAATAATAGTGTTAATCGATGTCTCATTATACAGGGTGTTCAGGAAATAGGTGCAAATTATTTAGAGGGTAATTCTACTCATAAAAACATTGGTACAACTCGTTTTCACACGTTTTTGAAAATTCAATAATCCCAAAATTAATTTTTGATTTTGGTAAATTTATAAGGCTATGCAAAGTTATCAAAAAGTACTTATGGACGTTATTTTGAACTTTTTTCGGAACACCCTGTATGTTCTTACAATAAATAATTAACTTATCTTTCAAAGTTAAAGGGGAGCTGTGAAATAAAACATCTGTTCACAATTCTTTCCTTTGGCCTCGTTCTGTAATTTCTTTTTTAATATCAGACGTTTCACACCTCGTACAACACCTGGTACATTGACGGTCCAAGCTAAAAACACAGAAATATTAGGTTTTTTTTACTTAAAACATTTTAAAACCCAAAACTCCCCACGCCATAACACATTTTCAGAAATATTTTTCATGAAAAATATAATTAATCATCACTCTTTATAGTTAGTCTAATACTTAATAAAATATTGAAGAAAGTAAAGCGCACTTATCTTATATGCAAAACAGTGTTGCACCACGACATTAGATTTAGTAATTATCTTCCTTTACCCTATGTTCTAACCTTGGTTTATTTTCCTAAAAAAAAATTTTTAGATGTAAATTTTTTGTATGTAGTTACTTTATACGCCTTTTTTCATTTAACACTCTGTATAAAAGTGAAAAAAAGGTTTAAGTATCTGCACAACTAAGGAGTGTTACATACTCACCAAATACACGAATATCTTATTTGATTCAAGTTCTGGTGAAGCAGTTGCACAAATGGTGCAGAAAAGGAAGGCAAATCTAGGCCTAGGGGGCCTTTACATCACCCAAGATAGAATCGATAGGATTGCAATCAGCCAATGGCATTCCCAAGACTGCGCCGTTTTCATATCTTTAACATCAACTGCACTACCGAGGTATCGGGCTATAATGGGACCATTCCATTGGACAGTCTGGTTGGCAGTAACTATTATTTACATGCTTGCAATATTCCCTCTGACATTTTCCTATAAACTCACTCTGAAGGGTTTAATAACTAATCCCGAAGAAATGGAAAACATGTTCTGGTATGTCTTTGGTACGTTTACGAACTGTTTCACTTTCAGCGGAACCGAAGCTTGGAATAAGTCGGATAAATTTACCACAAGAATACTTATTGGTAGTTTTTTTAGAAACATCGCGATTTCAGTACGATTTACTTCGCAATGTTTCAGGATTTTACTGGTTGTTCTCAATTATCATCACAGCGTGCTACACCGGGTCTATTATAGCGTTTGTAACTATTCCAATATATCCAGCCGTGGTAGACACCGTAAGGCAGTTACTTGACGGAAGATATCAAATAGGGACTTTAGGTTAGTTAATAAGATAACACTTTCCAATTTCCTGACGGTGCTTTTCAGATAAAGGAGGATGGCCACACTTATTCGCAAACTCATCAGATGAAGGTACTGAAAAACTACTAAGGCATTTGGATCTTGTTCCCGACGTAGAATCTGGATTAAGGAATACCACCAAGAGCTTCATTTGGAACTATGCGTTCTTAGGTTCCAGAGCCCAGTTGGATTACATCGTCAGGACCAATTTTACAACAAAGTAATACATTAATTAAATCTAAACACAATTTTCCTTCATAAAATTTTAGGAGCAAGAGATCCATTTTGCATATCAGTGAGGATTGTTTGGCACCGTTCAACATTGGTGTTGGATATCCAAAAAATTCCATATACAGCGAGATACTCGACGTTGGAATTCTGCTAGCTCTACAGGCTGGCATCCTCAACAAACTAAAAGCAGACGTCGAGTGGGATATGATGAGAACCGCCACTGGAAGGCTATTAGCGGTGCAGTATCTCTTTTGTACTAAGGGGTGTTCCAAAACAGAGTCTTATATCTAAAATTACTTGTTTGGTAGGAATTTAGTCAAGTCGCATTAAGTCAGTACACGGCATAAAAAGTATTCCAACAATAAAATAATTAATAAAGAGTAAACACAAAATGATCCGTCTGAAGTGGGACACCCTGTAGATGTAATAAGTTATTAGCGATTTCAAAAAAAAGAAGCATTGCCGATAAATATTTAGTTCGTGACTTCCGGTTGTTACTTTTTCTTTATTAACCTGGATTAGGTCAGGAACTGTAATAAAAAACTACTATTGCACTTTCTGTTGACGTTTCGTCGTTTCTGTTACATCCTCAGGATTACCTACGTGTTGCGTGAGTTACTGTCTACAATTATGCAGGGTATCCCTGAAAAATATGGACAACGCTTGACCACAGATTCCTTGGATGAGAATAAGACTATTTAGCCTAACTTATCTATACAGGGTGTTTCTAAAATAGGGTTCCTAACTTCTGCTGCGTTTATAACACATTAAAATAATCCAAATAGTTCCTATTAACATATGCCCTAAAACGCACCCTTAGGAAGTTATATGCCCTTAAAAGGGCTCAAACAAAACTGTCTTTTTTTTCAAATAAATTGCAGTTATGAAGGATTCGATCATTTAATAAATAATTTAGGACATAAACTAAGACTATTTAAATTTAGAGTTACACTTACTAATTAAAGAACTAATTACTACTGCAGACAATAGCTAAATGTGAAATAGAAAATAATGGGATTAAAATTAGTAATAATAAGTTAAATTGCAAGAACTGCTCGAAGTGACCGCCTTGCATTTCGTTGCATAATCTATCTAGCTCGACGCTTCAATGATTTGCGAACTCTTTGGAAAATTCTAGTGTTTGCCTTATTTCCATGCACTCGGTTTCAATTTCCTCCCGTAGTTGCTGAATGGTCTCAATTGGAATTTTATAAACCTTTGCCTTAAGTTGACCCCACAAAAAATAGTCCAGGGGGTTAAGGTCAGGGGAACGTGGAGGCCAGGGAACAGGACCTCCTCGGCCTATCCATTTTTCTCCATACAACTCATTTAAGTGTTGTCTAACATTATGTAGGTAATGAGGTGGCGCCCCGTCCTGCATAAACCATATGCTATGGCGTTCAATTAAAGGGACATCTTCCAAATTCCTGGCAAGTCGTTAACTAAAAAATTGTAATAATCCTCACCATTGAATCGATTAAGCAACACAAACGGTCCGATTAGCCGATCGCCTAAAATACCTGCCCAAACATTGACGGAAAACCGAATCTGATGTCTAGACTGAAATATGCTGTGTGGGTTTTCATCAGCCCATTCATGAGCGTTATGAAAATTGACATAACCATCTTTACTGAGGCTTGCCTCATCCGTAAACAAAATAAGAGATGCAAAATTCGGAATCAGCCTCGATTTTCGCAAAAACCATTGGCAGAACTGCCGACGTGGTTCGTAGTCATTCGGATTTAAAGCTTGAACACGCTGGATATGAAAAGTATGAAGTAGTTGTTCACAAAGAATTCGCCAAAGTACGGAAAAACTTATGCATATGTGCGACACTTCTTACACTAACACTTGGATTGTCCTGCACAGCTCTCAATACATATTCTTCCATCACCGGTGTTCTTACAAATCTGTCTCTGCCACGATCATTTACTCTTGGTTGGAACGAACCATTTTCTCTTAAACGTTGATGTATTCTCTGAAATACCTGTCGAGAAGGAAGTCTTCTATTCGGGTATGCTGCCGCATACAGACGCCTCGCTTCTGATGCATTTCCAGCCGCACGGCCGTACATAAGGTGCATATCTGCCATTTCCGTGTTTGAATATGACTCCATTTTATGAGTTGCAATAATGTTGTATACTTAAATTTTCCACTCACCACTTTAACTAATTAAACACTGCAAAGCTCAATTGATAGTTTATCAATAACTTAAATTGTTAAGCGTTGTGGCAACGTCAGTCCTTTATTTGCTATGGTAAACAGATTTTTGTAATTTTTGGCCTAATAACTTAAAGAGCAGAGTAATTTTCAAACTCAATTTACTCGAAAACCATTGGAAATATCGATTTGGACAAAGATAATATTTTTTACGTAAAATTGTAAAGATTTTATAATTCTGTACAGAAAAATTGTAAAAAAATTGAAATAAAAAGATTACGGGTCGAAAACCCCCTTCACCCACCTAAATGGGACGCATATGATTTGCATGTCGAAAAACGGAGTAGACCATGTTATTTAACGTAAAAAGTTATGTAAGACCCATTCATTTTTTTCTATTTATTTGCGACCGTTTTCTCAATAACAGAAAAAAAAAACAGTTTTGTTTGGGCCCTTTTAAGTGCATATAACTTCCTAAGAGTGCGTTTTAGGAAACATGTTAATAGGAACTTTTTGGCTTATTTTAATGAGTTATAAACGCAGCAGAAGTTTAGAACCCTATTTTAGAAATACCCTGTATCGCACGAAAACGAAGCAAAATTTCAGTATAGTTCATAGGAAAAATTTTGTAGAGAATTGAATTTCCCATCGAAACGGCCTATTTAAAAAATTTAAAAGAAAAATTTTATTCAAGAAATCGTTAATAAATAATTTTAAACAAGTAAAAAATAAGATTGTTTTATTTTTTTACTTTTTTGACTAACTTTTTTTTAGTAGCAGTAGGCAAAGAAAATTGCTCTACAAAAAAACTAGATGAGATTTTCCCTTCGAAATGATGCGTTTTCAAAAGTTTTTGGACTAATATTGACTGAATTATAACCAGTCAAACTTAAATATTTTTTAGATTTTCGTCGTTTTTAACATAAACTAGCCAAAAAACTAAAAAAAAAAATAAAAAATCGAATTTTTTTCTTTTTTCAAATTGTTTATTAACGATTTTTTGCATAAAATCCATTAAAATTTTTTAAATAGGAAATTCAATTCCCTAAATAATTTTTCCCATGAACTACAGCGAAATTTGGCTTCATTTTCGAGCTACAATTATAAAATTGAAAGGGGTGCATTTTCACAACTATCTCCAATTTCCACCCTCTAATTTAATAGCACTCCGCGGTTTTTTCATGTAAAATGGCCATTTGAACGATTTATGTAATAAAATATCTTGAACGTCATAGTTCCTTTTAAAATTCTATAATCAATAGCCTATTAGAAGGCTATATATCAGTAGGCGTGCACTTTTGTATACAGGTTTAGAAAGTCCCCATGGTACATCGGTCGTTACGTAAGAGCGATAAAGTAAGTCATAGAAATCCGTGCGATAGACAAGTACGGTTACATTGAAGACGTTTCATAATGTGAATAGTTCTAACCCAAAACGGGCGGTGACTATTCAGATTATGAAACGTCTTCACTATAGCCATCCTTGTCTATCGCATGGATTTCTTTACTTTACTTTGTCGCTCTCATGTAAAGGCAGATGGACCATGTGGATTTTCCAGCCCTGTATAAATAGGTTATGCTCAATAGTCTTATTTTCATCCAAGGAACCTGTGATCAAGCGTTGCTCATACTTTTCAGGGACACCCTGTATATTTTTTTGAGATAAAAGTACCTTTTTGTTCCTTGTTCCTGACCTAATTCAATCGAAAAAAGAACAAAACAATAATGGACTGTTTTCAGGCGAGTTCCAAGGTTGGAGGCATCAAGGCACTGTCCTACGAAGACAGGGCGTTGAACCTAGACGACACCCAAGGAATGTTCCTGCTGTTGGGGGCGGGTTTTTTGGTTGGAGCGGGCGTTCTCATGTCTGAATGGTTAGGCGGTTGCTTCATGTTTTGCAAAGGCAAGAAACGAAACGACAGTGTGAGTTCAATCGAAAGCAATCCCAGGTCGTACGAAGGGAGAACACCACGGGAGAAGCTCAACTCTATCCAGTACGTCCGCATGCGCAACAGATTGGACAGCACTATAGATTTGGAACAAAATTTCGATTACGAAGTGCCTCGCGCTAAAAGGGTACAGATGAAAAAGCAAGAGTCGAATGGGGAGAATCACGTAAACTGTGTGGTACATGAAGTGGCAGATTCGCATAGCAGTGGAGGAAGCAAAGATTCTGACGATGATGACTTTAATGAAGAGATCAATAAGATTTTCGAAGAAGTTTTCGGGGAAAAAAACGTGGACAGTGACAGCTCTCACGAGGAAGTTACCGATACTTGCGACAAAGAGAATGTTATTGAGACGACAACTTAAAAAATATATATCTAACCCAGAGGTTTATCAATAGTAGATGTAATAAATTACTGTTAGTACTAGATAATTAGACTTTATGTAATCAAAAGATTAATAAATTAAAAATTAAAGCGTAACAATATTATTGTGTCATTTCGAATATTTTTTAAACAAAAACATTTTAAATTTAAAAAATCAAGCGCTTAAAATAAGAGATAAATTACTTACTCAATCTTTTCAACAACTTAGTAGTAGTTCCTTATCAACCAAAATGGCACATCCCCTCTAATTTTAATCTGAAACAATTTATTATTGTTAATATTGAACGGGGATCATTGAATAAAACGTGTATAAATGAAAAAGTCAGCACCATAAACCATAATCATGGCAGATGATTTGCTCAAAAAATAGTTCTCATCATGTTGAATCAAATAAGTACCTTCCATACAAAGCGTTCCGGAAATGTTGGGATGCAGCTCGATCACAAAGTCCTGAGACCAATATATCACACGAAGTCACAAAGACACAAAGTCATATATCTTGGATATAAAAGAAAATGAAACATTTTTTAATATCACCTTCCAACTATTTCAATTACAGACTTCTTAGAGAAAATAATATACAGACTGTTATTTTTTGGCGTCTACAAAATCAGTTTTTACAGTTAATTTATTTCTAGTGAATAAAACAGGAAAATCTGGGGCCTTTGGGTTTTGATCTCAGGAGTCTGTAGTCCAACAGCGTCTCAACCTTTCTCGAACATATTATATATTGCTTAGGATATTTTATTTTATCGTATATTTTAATAAAATAATAATAAATATGGGAAACATTGTTTCCTTTGTAATTTTTTTAAGAATACTAATATATATTCAGGAATAGAGAATTGAAAAATAAAAATAATTAGAAGAAAATAAATAAGAAAAATATTGTTTCTTTTCTAATTTTTTTTATAAATACAAAAATATACTCAGCAATAGAGAATTAAAAAATAAAAATAATTAGGAGAAAAAAATGAGACATTGATACTAAACCACTTACCCACTCAGTATGTCTCCACCCAGAGAGTAGTACAAGACAAGAATAAATTACTGTTAGTACTAGATAATTAGAGTTTATGTAATCAAAAGATTGTCAAAATTAAAGCGGAACAATATTGTTTCATTTCGAATATTTTTTAAACAAAAACATTTTATAGTATTAAAAGTAAAGTGAGTAACAAGTACTTAAAAGAAGAGAAAATTTAAAAAAACAAGAGCATAAAATAAGAGATAAATTACTTACTCAATCTTTTCAACAACTTAGTAGTAGTTCCTTATCAACCAAAATGGCAACATCCCCTCTAATTTTAATCTGAAACAATTTGTTATTGTTAATATTGAACGGGCATCATTGAATAAAACGTAGGTATATAAATAAAAAGTCAGCACCATAAACCATAATCACGGCAGATGATTTGCTCAAAAAATAGTTCTCATCATGATGAATCAAATAAGTACCTTCCATACAAAGCGTTCCGAAATGTTGGGATACAGCTCGATCACACAGTACTGAGACCAATATATCACACGAAGTCACAAAGACACAAAGTCATATTTCTTGGATATAAAAGAAAATGAAACATTTTTTAATATCACCTTCCTTTGAAAATGGAGCTTACCTCATCCCCTTTAACACCACATGTCCCAAATTTTATTTAAATGTTTTGTATCCTCACAGTAGACCCATACTATCGAGTTTAAGAGACCCTGTACAAACAAGAAGTCAGCTGCCCAAACCTAAATCATTGGGGATATTCACTCAAAAATGAATACTCATCATATATACTGTATGTAAAATACTTCAGAATTTATTTTTATTTTAATATTTTAAGTAAGAATACGGTTTCAATTTTAAAATTTTTTAAATAACATTAATTCTTTGGTTATCGAGGAACAATACAAGACAATAGTAAATTTAAATAGGAAAATTGAAATACGTGACAAAAATTACTTACTCGATATCTCCTACTTGTATTCTTCATCGACTAAAAATGGTCACATCCAAGCACTCTAGTGGTATGCCACCTGAAACAATTTATTTGTGTCAATATTGAACGGATATTGAACAAAATATCAATAATAGCAAACGAAAAGTCAGCTGCACGAACTTTAATCATTGCGGTCGTTCATTCAGAAATGAATACTCATCATATTGAACTATAAAATACTTATGAATTTATTTGTATTTTCGTATATAGGGTGATTTCACTGTAAATGCTGAAATTGCAGGAAATGATTGTCAAAAAAGAAGTAGAGATTGCTCTAAACTTTTTCCTAGGGGACGCGGTGTACAGAGTAAGTTTACAAAAAAAAGTTGTATACAGTATGTTCACTGTTAGAATGGAAAAGAAGGAAAATATTTTTATTTTTCGCTTTACGAGGAAAAGGCATTCTTGATTAAAATTTTCGCCTATCTTTAAAATGCGGTTGGCATGGAGAACTTTCATTTTGCATGTACAGGGTGATCAGAAAATCGGTAAATATAAAAATCGTTCAAGAATAAACTTCCTTTGTTTTAAACAATACAGAAATATGTTATTAATAAAAGTTGCTTAGAATTAAAATGTATACTATAATTTCAATTTGTATATGAATTGGCCTACATTAATAGAAAGGACAGACAAAAAATTTTATTTATTTTACGAGAAAAAGGCACTCTTGATTAAAATGTTTGATTATCTTTGAAGACAATTTAAAGATATTTTAAAGACAAACAAAAATTTTAATCAAGAATACCTTTTTCTCGTAAAATGAACAACAGAAAATATATATTTTTGTAAATTTTAACATCCTGTAAACACACACACAAAAAATATGACAAAAATTACTTACTGGATATCTTCAATATATTCTTCGTCGGCTAAGAATGGTCACATCCAGTCTAGTGTTGTGCTATCTAAAACAATTTATTAGTGTCAATGCTGAACGGATACTGAATAAAATATCTATAACAACACAAAAAAGTCAGCTAAACGAACCTTAATCATTGCGAATGGTCGCTCAAGAATTAATTCTAATCATACTGTAAAATAGTTTTTAATTTCATATTTATTTTAAGTAAGAATCTGGTCTGGATTTTGAAATTTTCTACACAAAAATGTATTTTTTCGATTATGAAGAAACAAATTCGACAATTTAAGGAATAAATTTAGCAACTGAACATTTAAGAGAAAGAAAATTCAAATAAAAGAAACAAAAAATAAGACGTACACAACTTCCTGAATCTCTTCAAATAAGTTTCGCGGTTATTTTCCTCATTCTCTCAAAAACGGTCACATCCAATACTGTAAGGTGCTACCTGGAACAATTTATTATTGTCAATATTAACCGACCACAACTGTTATAAAGTACTTCGGATATTTTTTAACGTTTTAAAATGTAGTTCAAAATGAACAATTTACCTCAGTCATTACAGAAGCCCCTTCACTAATTTTTCTGCGTGTTACAAAAACATTCAATGATCCTTAATGGCTTCAGCTTCAGCATCTCCAAAAATATATACAGTAATTATACGAAGTAGCTGCAAAAATATATNTATTGTAAACACCACAGATAACAGGTAAATATCACAACGACGATTGCAAAATCCGAATTCAGTATTCGGAGTCGCTGAGGCCACGTGGCGAATGACGCTAGAGACTACAGTTGTCCAGCTATGTAGTGGTTGAATGTACTATAACTTCAATATTTTTTTTCTCGGAAACTATAAGGATTTTACAAAAATTTTTTTTACGATATTCATTCCATTTCTCATGCTGCATCTATTCCCAAATTTTTTGGATAAGTTGTGAATCACCCTGTATATGCTGCGAATCAACATTAGAACCGACCCACTGCCCATTGCCGCCGCTATAAGAGGTGCCGTTCGCACTTTGTAACATGAACCTTTAAATAAACGCTATAAGAAATTCAAATATCAACCAAATTTTTTTGGTTCCAAAGACAAGGAGCCCACGAAAAAGTGGGGGTTCCCCGACAAAAAACGTAACACTAACAGATTCCACATGTCATAAAATCCCTGTGTACCAAATTTAGTGGGGTTCCGAGGTATAAAAAAGACTATTCTTAGGGGCAGACTTCAGGGAGGTGTAACTCCGAAAGAGGGGGGCGACTTGACAAAAATACGGGTTCCCTAAATCTGTCTTGAATCTACGTCCGTATTTTGTTGCAATAATTTCGGGACACCCTGTATAAAAAAATTACAGTGTTCTATGTTCTTTTAGTAGAAGTCAAAATTCGAAATAAAATATTAGATGTTAGTAACAACCAATACAACACGTAACTTACATCAAAATTAAATTATCTGCGGATCTCGTTCGCTATTTATTTTTCTGAAAGAAATTTAAAATTAGACAAATTGTTTCAACTTAACAAAATTAAAACATAATAAAATAAAAAATTCAGTCTAGTATAAAATCATTAGAATGGTTATAAAACCAATATTCATCACTAGTTAATTTAAATTTAAACTGTCAATCATTCCGTAACTGAAAAAATTATATGTTTTTAATTAAAACTTTGTTTCACAATAATCCTTATAGGAAAACAGCTATAACTACAGTTGATAGAATGAAATATTTAATTCTAGAACGGGTATTATATATTTCCTTATTTATCTGTAAAGTACAATATTTTATCTTCAATGTAAACTAAAATAATAGTGTTAATCGATGTCTCATTATACAGGGTGTTCAGGAAATAGGTGCAAATTATTTAGAGGGTAATTCTACTCATAAAAACATTGGTACAACTCGTTTTCACACGTTTTTGAAAATTCAATAATCCCAAAATTAATTTTTGATTTTGGTAAATTTATAAGGCTATGCAAAGTTATCAAAAAGTACTTATGGACGTTATTTTGAACTTTTTTCGGAACACCCTGTATGTTCTTACAATAAATAATTAACTTATCTTTCAAAGTTAAAGGGGAGCTGTGAAATAAAACATCTGTTCACAATTCTTTCCTTTGGCCTCGTTGTGTAATTTCTTCTTTAATATCAGACGTTTCACACCTCGTACAACACCTGGTACATTGACGGTCCAAGCTAAAAACACAGAAATATTAGGTTTTTTTTACTTAAAACATTTTAAAACCCAAAACTCCCCACGCCATAACACATTTTCAGAAATATTTTTCATGAAAAATATAATTAATCATCACTCTTTATAGTTAGTCTAATACTTAATAAAATATTGAAGAAAGTAAAGCGCACTTATCTTATATGCAAAACAGTGTTGCACCACGACATTCGATTTAGTAATTATCTTCCTTTACCCTATGTTCTAACCTTGGTTTATTTTCCTAAAAAAAAATTTTTAGATGTAAATTTTTTGTATGTAGTTACTTTATACGCCTTTTTTAAAAAGCTTTAAGTATCTGCACAACTAAGGAGTGTTACATACTCACCAAATACACGAATATCTTATTTGATTCAAGTTCTGGTGAAGCAGTTGCACAAATGGTGCAGAAAAGGAAGGCAAATCTAGGCCTAGGGGGCCTTTACATCACCCAAGATAGAATCGATAGGATTGCAATCAGCCAATGGCATTCCCAAGACTGCGCCGTTTTCATATCTTTAACATCAACTGCACTACCGAGGTATCGGGCTATAATGGGACCATTCCATTGGACCGTCTGGTTGGCAGTAACTATTATTTACATGCTTGCAATATTCCCTCTGACATTTTCCTATAAACTCACTCTGAAGGGTTTAATAACTAATCCCGAAGAAATGGAAAACATGTTCTGGTATGTCTTTGGTACGTTTACGAACTGTTTCACTTTCAGCGGAACCGAAGCTTGGAATAAGTCGGATAAATTTACCACAAGAATACTTATTGGTAGTTTTTTTAGAAACATCGCGATTTCAGTACGATTTACTTCGCAATGTTTCAGGATTTTACTGGTTGTTCTCAATTATCATCACAGCGTGCTACACCGGGTCTATTATAGCGTTTGTAACTATTCCAATATATCCAGCCGTGGTAGACACCGTAAGGCAGTTACTTGACGGAAGATATCAAATAGGGACTTTAGGTTAGTTAATAAGATAACACTTTCCAATTTCCTGACGGTGCTTTTCAGATAAAGGAGGATGGCCACACTTATTCGCAAACTCATCAGATGAAGGTACTGAAAAACTACTAAGGCATTTGGATCTTGTTCCCGACGTAGAATCTGGATTAAGGAATACCACCAAGAGCTTCATTTGGAACTATGCGTTCTTAGGTTCCAGAGCCCAGTTGGATTACATCGTCAGGACCAATTTTACAACAAAGTAATACATTAATTAAATCTAAACACAATTTTCCTTCATAAAATTTTAGGAGCAAGAGATCCATTTTGCATATCAGTGAGGATTGTTTGGCACCGTTCAACATTGGTGTTGGATATCCAAAAAATTCCATATACAGCGAGATACTCGACGTTGGAATTCTGCTAGCTCTACAGGCTGGCATCCTCAACAAACTAAAAGCAGACGTCGAGTGGGATATGATGAGAACCGCCACTGGAAGGCTATTAGCGGTGCAGTATCTCTTTTGTACTAAGGGGTGTTCCAAAACAGAGTCTTATATCTAAAATTACTTGTTTGGTAGGAATTTAGTCAAGTCGCATTAAGTCAGTACACGGCATAAAAAGTATTCCAACAATAAAATAATTAATAAAGAGTAAACACAAAATGATCCGTCTGAAGTGGGACACCCTGTAGATGTAATAAGTTATTAGCGATTTCAAAAAAAAGAAGCATTGCCGATAAATATTTAGTTCGTGACTTCCGGTTGTTACTTTTTCTTTATTAACCTGGATTAGGTCAGGAACTGTAATAAAAAACAACTATTGCACTTTCTGTTGACGTTTCGTCGTTTCTGTTACATCCTCAGCATTACCTATGTGCTACGCGAGTTACTGTCTACAATTATACAGGATGTCCCTGAAAAGTATGGACAACGCTTGGCCACAGATTCCTTGGATGAAACTAGGGCTATTTAGCCTAACTTACGTATACACAAAAGTGCACGCCTACTGGGATATAACCTTCTAAATATAGAACAGATAACCTAGTTTTTTTCAAATAATTTGAAAACTATTTTTCTTAGAAACTTCAATATGAAATCAGCAAAAGACGGTTGCAACATGAATTTAAGATTAATGTTTGGGCTAGTGTTACTGGTAGTTTTTTAATTGGTCCTGTTATATTACCTGCTACATTGAACGCAGAAAATTATTTAGAATTTCTCCAAACGAGATTACCCTATCTGCTTGAAGAGCTACCGATAGCACTACAAATGAATATGATTTTCATGCATGATGGGGCTCCTCCTCATTTTACCTTATCGGTAAGGCAATACTTAGATGAGCACTATCCTAACAGGTGGGTAGCTAGAGGAAATAATGTCCCGTTAAAATGGCCACCTCGATCCCCGGACCTAAACCCATGTGATTATTTTCTTTGGGGAGCATTGAAGACCAAAGTTTATAGCTTTCCAGTAAATACAGAAAACGAATTATACAAAATAAAACTAATGCCATGACAACAATGTTATGCACAATTATTGGATAAAATTCATTTAAATTTTAATTAAATGAATTTAATTAAAGAAGAATTAATGTCTGCGTTCAAGAACAATGATATCATTTTGAGCATTTACTGTAATATTATTTTAATGTGATTTCAAAATATCAGTTTAGGTTTATTTGAAATGTTAATGTTGACTTTCTTAGGTGTTAATGTTTATTTAAAATACTAGTGTTGATTTCTTAATTTATTGATTGACAATGCTAAGACTAAAAAATGTGTAGTTAATTTTATTTTTTTAATGTGTTGTTTTTTCATTATTATTACGTACTTTGAGGCTGCAGTTATAAATTATTTTTTTTAATCCGAATTTTTGCCCATATTTAATATATAAAAGATGCCAATTTTACTTGAAATCCATTAACTATATCAAAATTTTGTAAGAGGCAAAAAATCTTCTAAAATAGTGCTTATTTTTGAAAATATAAATTCTGGCATCACTGGCGTACACACAAAAAAGTTACGGGATAGCCAGTGGTGCACAGGCACTAGAAAGAGAACATCCTAAACATGTATTCTCCAAATACCACCAAATACTATATTTACATTTCCCTTATTTAAAAAAAATATGTGTATCAATTTTGAAGTTTTTAAGAAAAATAGTTTTCAAATTATTTGTAAATAACTGGGTTATCTGTTCTATCTATTTATAGGCTATTGATTATATCCAAAAAAACCGGGTTAAAAGAAACTATGACTTTCAAGCAATTTTATTGCATGAATTGTTCAAAGGGTCATTTTAGATTAAAAAACCGCGGAGTGCTATTAAATTAGAGGGTGGAAATTGGAGATAGGGGTGAAAATGCACCCCTTTCAGTTTTTTAATTGTAGCTCGAAAACGAAGTAAAATGTCGCTATAGTTCATAGCAAACATTATTTAGAGAATTGAATTTCCCATCGAAATGGCTTAATTAAAAAATTCAAAAGGAAAATTTTATGCAAAAAATCGTTAATAAACAATTTGAAAAAAGCAAAAAATTAGATTTTTTGATTTTTTTTACTTTTTTGCCTCTAGGTTTTTTTGAGTAAAGATAGATATCGGCTTGCTTCATAAAAAAAGGAGATAAAGTTTTCTTAAAAAAAAAGAGGTTGTACAGTATTTTTGGATGAGAATTGACTGATATATGGCCGCTCAAACTTAGCCAATTTTTCGATTTTCGTCGCGTTCTCTTATACGTTTTAATTCTCATGTTTTGCAAAAAAAAAGGAAATAAGACGTTCAAGGATTGTCATCACATGGCTTGTTCGAAGGGTCATTAAAAATTAAAAAACCGTAGGGTGCTATTAAATTAGAGGGTTGAAATTGAAGATAGGGGTGAAAATGCACTTGCAGTTTTTAAATATAGTACGAAAACGAAGCAATAGTTCATAGGAAAAATTTTGTAGAGAATTGAATTTCCCATCGAAATGGCTTATTTAAAAAAAAAAGAAAAATTTTATGAAGAAATCGTTAATAAACAATTTTAAAAAAAGTAAAAATTAAGATTGTTTGATTTTTTACTTTTTTGCCTCTAATTTTTTTTAAGTAGTAGTGGGCAAAGACAATTGCTCTACAAAACTAGATGAGATTCCCTTCAAAATGATGCGTTTTCAAAAGTTTTTAGACTAATATTGACTGAGTTATAACCAGTCAAACTTAAATATTTTTTAGATTTTTGTCGTTTTTAACATAAATTAATTTATTAACGATTTTTTGCATAAAATTTTCCTTTTAATAATCCATTTCGACGGGAAATTCAATTCTCATAAATTATTTTTCCCACGAACTACAGCGAAATTTTGCTTCGTTTTCGAGCTACAAACTAAAAACAAGGGGTGCATTTTCGCCCCTATCTTCAATTTCCACCCTCTAATTTAATAGCACTCCGCGGTTTTTTCATGTAAAATGGCCATTTGAACGATTTATGTAATAAAATATCTTGAACGTCATAGTTCCTTTTAAAATTCTATAATCAATAGCCTATTAGAAGGCTATATATCAGTAGGCGTGCACTTTTGTATACAGGTTTAGAAAGTCCCCATGGTACATCGGCCGTTACATGAAAGCGATAAAGTAGACAAGAATGGTTACCTTGAAGACGTTTCATAATATGAATAGTTCTAACCCAAAACGGGCGGTGACTATTCAGATTATGAAACGTCTTCACTATAGCCATCCTTGTCTATCGCATGGATTTCTTTACTTTACTTTGTCGCTCTCATGTAAAGGCAGATGGACCATGTGGATTTTCCAGCCCTGTATAAATAGATTATGCTCAATAAACTTATTTTCATCCAAGGAACCTGTGATCAAGCGTTGCTCATACTTTTCAGGGACACCCTGTATATTTTTTGAAATAAAAGTACATTTTTGTTCCTTGTTCCTGACCTAATTCAATCGAAAAAAGAACAAAACAATAATGGACTGTTTTCAGGCGAGTTCCAAGGTTGGAGGCATCAAGGCACTGTCCTACGAAGACAGGGCGTTGAACCTAGACGACACCCAAGGAATGTTCCTGCTGTTGGGGGCGGGTTTTTTGGTTGGAGCGGGCGTTCTCATGTCTGAATGGTTAGGCGGTTGCTTCATGTTTTGCAAAGGCAAGAAACGAAACGACAGTGTGAGTTCAATCGAAAGCAATCCCAGGTCGTACGAAGGGAGAACACCACGGGAGAAGCTCAACTCTATCCAGTACGTCCGCATGCGCAACAGATTGGACAGCACTATAGATTTGGAACAAAATTTCGATTACGAAGTGCCTCGCGCTAAAAGGGTACAGATGAAAAAGCAAGAGTCGAATGGGGAGAATCACGTAAACTGTGTGGTACATGAAGTGGCAGATTCGCATAGCAGTGGAGGAAGCAAAGATTCTGACGATGATGACTTTAATGAAGAGATCAATAAGATTTTCGAAGAAGTTTTCGGGGAAAAAAACGTGGACAGTGACAGCTCTCACGAGGAAGTTACCGATACTTGCGACAAAGAGAATGTTATTGAGACGACAACTTAAAAAATATATATCTAACCCAGAGGTTTATCAATAGTAGATGTAATAAATTACTGTTAGTACTAGATAATTAGACTTTATGTAATCAAAAGATTAATAAATTAAAAATTAAAGCGTAACAATATTATTGTGTCATTTCGAATATTTTTTAAACAAAAACATTTTATAGTATTAAAAGTAAAGTGAGTAACAAGTACTTAAAAGAAGAGAAAATTTAAAAAAACAAGAGCATAAAATAAGAGATAAATTACTTACTCAATCTTTTCAACAACTTAGTAGTAGTTCCTTATCAACCAAAATGGCAACATCCCCTCTAATTTTAATCTGAAACAATTTGTTATTGTTAATATTGAACGGGCATCATTGAATAAAACGTAGGTATATAAATAAAAAGTCAGCACCATAAACCATAATCATGGCAGATGATTTGCTCAAAAAATAGTTCTCATCATGATGAATCAAATAAGTACCTTCCATACAAAGCGTTCCGAAATGTTGGGATACAGCTCGATCACACAGTCCTGAGACCAATATATCACACGAAGTCACAAAGACACAAAGTCATATATCTTGGATATAAAAGAAAATGAAACATTTTTTCATATCACCTTCCAACTATTTCAATTACAGACTTCTTAGAGAAAATAATATACAGACTGTTATTTTTTGGGGTCTACAAAATCAGTTTTTATAGTTAATTTATTTCTAGTGAATAAAACAGGAAAATCTGGGGCCTTTGGGTTTTGATCTCAGGAGTCTGTAGTCCAACAGCGTCTCAACCTTTCTCGAACATATTATATATTGCTTAGGATATTTTATTTTATCGTATATTTTAATAAAATAATAATAAATATGGGAAACATTGTTTCCTTTGTAATTTTTTTAAGAATACTAATATATACTCAGGAATAGAGAATTGAAAAATAAAAATAATTAGAAGAAAATAAATAAGAAAAATATTGTTTCTTTTCTAATTTTTTTTATAAATACAAAAATATACTCAGCAATAGAGAATTAAAAAATAAAAATAATTAGGAGAAAAAAATGAGACATTGATACTAAACCACTTACCCACTCAGTATGTCTCCACCCAGAGAGTAGTACAAGACAAGAATAAATTACTGTTAGTACTAGATAATTAGAGTTTATGTAATCAAAAGATTGTCAAAATTAAAGCGGAACAATATTGTTTCATTTCGAATATTTTTTAAACAAAAACATTTTATAGTATTAAAAGTAAAGTGAGTAACAAGTACTTAAAAGAAGAGAAAATTTAAAAAAACAAGAGCATAAAATAAGAGATAAATTACTTACTCAATCTTTTCAACAACTTAGTAGTAGTTCCTTATCAACCAAAATGGCAACATCCCCTCTAATTTTAATCTGAAACAATTTGTTATTGTTAATATTGAACGGGCATCATTGAATAAAACGTAGGTATATAAATAAAAAGTCAGCACCATAAACCATAATCACGGCAGATGATTTGCTCAAAAAATAGTTCTCATCATGATGAATCAAATAAGTACCTTCCATACAAAGCGTTCCGGAAATGTTGGGATGCAGCTCGATCACACAGTCCTGAGACCAATATATCACACGAAGTCACAAAGACACAAAGTCATATTTCTTGGATATAAAAGAAAATGAAACATTTTTTAATATCACCTTCCTTTGAAAATGGAGCTTACCTCATCCCCTTTAACACCACATGTCCCAAATTTTATTTAAATGTTTTGTATCCTCACAGTAGACCCATACTACGAGTTTAAGAGACCCTGTACAAACAAGAAGTCAGCTGCCCAAACCTAAATCATTGGGGATATTCACTCAAAAATGAATACTCATCATATATACTGTATGTAAAATACTTCAGAATTTATTTTTATTTTAATATTTTAAGTAAGAATACGGTTTCAATTTTAAAATTTTTTAAATAACATTAATTCTTTGGTTATCGAGGAACAATACAAGACGATAGTAAATTTAAATAGGAAAATTGAAATACGTGACAAAAATTACTTACTCGATATCTCCTACTTGTATTCTTCATCGACTAAAAATGGTCACATCCAAGCACTCTAGTGGTATGCCACCTGAAACAATTTATTTGTGTCAATATTGAACGGATATTGAACAAAATATCAATAATAGCAAACGAAAAGTCAGCTGCACGAACTTTAATCACTGCGGTCGTTCATTCAGAAATGAATACTCATCATATTGAACTATAAAATACTTATGAATTTATTTGTATTTTCGTATACAGGGTGATTTCACTGTAAATGCTGAAATTGCAGGAATTGATTGTCAAAAAAGAAGTAGAGATTGCTCTAAACTTTTTCCTAGGGGACGCGGTGTACAGAGTAAGTTTACAAAAAAAAGTTGTATACAGTATGTTCACTGTTAGAGTGGAAAAGAAGGAAAATATTTTTATTTTTCGCTTTACGAGGAAAAGGCATTCTTGATTAAAATTTTCGCCTATCTTTAAAATGCGGTTGGCATGGAGAACTTTCATTTTGCATGTACCGGGTGATCAGAAAATCGGTAAATATAAAAATCGTTCAAGAATAAACTTCCTTTGTTTTAAACAATACAGAAATATGTTATTAATAAAAGTTGCTTAGAATTAAAATGTATACTATAATTTCAATTTGTATATGAATTGGCCTACATTAATAGAAAGGACAGACAAAAAATTTTATTTATTTTACGAGAAAAAGGCACTCTTGATTAAAATGTTTGATTATCTTTGAAGACAATTTAAAGATATTTTAAAGACAAACAAAAATTTTAATCAAGAATACCTTTTTCTCGTAAAATGAACAACAGAAAATATATATTTTTGTAAATTTTAACATCCTGTAAACACACACACAAAAAATATGACAAAAATTACTTACTGGATATCTTCAATATATTCTTCGTCGGCTAAGAATGGTCACATCCAGTCTAGTGTTGTGCTATCTAAAACAATTTATTAGTGTCAATGCTGAACGAATACTGAATAAAATATCTATAACAACACAAAAAAGTCAGCTAAACGAACCTTAATCATTGCGAATGGTCGCTCAAGAATTAATTCTAATCATACTGTAAAATAGTTTTTAATTTCATATTTATTTTAAGTAAGAATCTGGTCTGGATTTTGAAATTTTCTACATAAAAATGTATTTTTTCGATTATGAAGAAACAAATTCGACAATTTAAGGAATAAATTTAGCAACTGAACATTTAAGAGAAAGAAAATTCAAATAAAAGAAACAAAAAATAAGACGTACACAACTTCCTGAATCTCTTCAAATAAGTTTCGCGGTTATTTTCCTCATTCTCTCAAAAACGGTCACATCCAATACTGTAAGGTGCTACCTGGAACAATTTATTATTGTCAATATTAACCGACCACAACTGTTATAAAGTACTTCGGATATTTTTTAAAGTTTTAAAATGTAGTTCAAAATGAACAATTTACCTCAGTCATTACAGAAGCCCCTTCACTAATTTTTCTGCGTGTTACAAAAACATTCAATGATCCTTAATGGCTTCAGCTTCAGCATCTCCAAAAATATATACAGTAATTATACGAAGTAGCTGCAAAAATATATGATTATTAATAATAATCTATCTTACAAGATTATGATGGTAATAAACTGAGAGAGAAGTCAGAGTAACGATACTATACAATCACGGAGTTTTCAAGGCTCTGTTTCTCATCATGTGAAAATTACCATTAGGTTATTTTTGGTTTAAAACGAATCAAAAACTACTAAAGTTTTAAAATGTATTTCAAAATATTTTTTTTCATTTTGAAATGAAATTAAATTTACCTCATTCATTCTGTTCAGAAGCCCTTCACTAATTTTCCTTTTTATTTCAAAAATATCCAATAAACCTTAACGACTTCAGCTTCAGCATTCCCAAAATATATACAGTAATGTAAGAGTAACTGCAAAAATATACAAGTATTAAAAATATATCTTATAAGATTATGATGGCAATAAACTGAGAAAAAAATCAGCGTAACGATGCTATGAAATCACGGATTTTTTATTTTATTCTTAAAATGATCATACGATTATTTGTCGTCAAAAACGATTTAGAACATCGATTAAATTCGTTGTTACTATTAAAAACAAATAACTTAAGAAGTTCGGCCGAGAAATGGTGAAAATTCTGGCATTTTTAGGTACTGAAATCTTGAAGAGTAAAACGTGTAGAACAAAAGTAAGAACAAAAATAAAATCCTTGATGTTTTGTTTATTCATTGTTACCATTTAAATTTACCCAAATAAAATAATAACTAAAAAAAGCGTTTGTAAAACATGCGTTTTCTGTTATCCTAACCCCACATTTTAAGAATTATTTTCACGTACTTATAAATAAAAGTAAACAATTTTATATGTAGGACTAAGCAAGTAAATGTTATAAGAATATTTACATGTGGAGTTATATATAAAAAAGTTAGTATTTTCGTAGATTTCAGTACCTAAAACCTTGATGGTTTGATCGTTTTTTGCACCTGGTTTATTCGTTTTACTGCGGCGTCTTTGAAAATACTCAGGTGGCATGACATAACATTCCTATTATTTGATAAGCTTTAGATTATTCAGTTATTAAATGTTTGAAATTATTTGTCTTTGCGGAAAACACTATTTAAATAATATGGGGCCCTTAACAGTCATTTGAACCTGTTTTAATTGAAGTTTGTGGTCTCAAACATCAAATGTAATATTAATTTTAGTAAAGAATTGTTAAAATACTGTAAATGCTGCTTTCGATGAGCTCCATGAATATTTTTCTTTTTAGTAAAATACATGAATAAAGTCCAAAGGCCCCCCAAGCCCCCAAGTCCCTGTCCCTGTTTGTTGATTAGCTGCAATTAAATTATATTCTCATAAGAAATATGTATATTTAACAATTTAATAATATTCTGTCTATTATAATGATAAAATAAGATCCTTAAATTGTAACCCAGAACCGGATTCAGCGCAATTTACAGATATTTATTTCTTTT